TGACGCCCTCTCCCCTCCCCGGGTACCCTAAATTCCCACCCTCGCACCTCCGCCCCCTCCCACCCCATGGTCACTGTGGCAACGCCTGTTACCATGGTGACCAGAGCAGCGCCCCCTCCCCTCACCCACAGCCGGTGGCCCCAGGACCCAGACTTCTCAGACCGAGAACCAGCGGGCCCCCACAACGCCTAACCAATCCTCCCGACCACTCTTCCCACACCCCCCTAAAACACCCCGCAGTCCGCACAAGCTCTGATGGAGCGCCAGGGCAGCGGATTCTACTGCGCAGGCGCCTACGCTCAGCCTTCTGGGAGTTGTAGTTTTTTGTCCGTCCCAGCAGGCGGTGCGAGTAGCCCACGGATGGGGGTGGAAACTAGGTTACCGGGTTCGATGGTCACCATGGCAACAAGGAAGCGCCAGCCGCACTATTCAATCTTTTGTGTTCTTTCATTTTTCTAACTCGGCTTGCTCTGTGCCAGGCGCCGTTCTGGGCGATGTCAATGGAGAACAAAGTAGAGCTTCTGGGAGCTGCGGCCTGGCAGGTCCCCGGGGTGCTCTGGGGGAGAAGGAGACGCAGGCAGTGTGCGAGAACAGGAGGCGCTGCTCTTGTCCCCACGCTGCCCCAGCGCTCACAGAAGCAGGAAGTCGTGCGTCCGGCGCTGGGCCCCTGAGCCAAAAGGCCCAGTTGGTGGACAGGGATGTGGCCTCATTTCAGGCCGTGCAAGGGTTGTGAAGACAGCGCAGAGAATCAGGGGCTGGAGTGACCGCTCCACGGGCCGCTTGGGGCCTTAGCGGGGAGGTGGCATTTACTGTGAGCCCGGCTTGCAGGGTGCACAGAGGCTTAAGGGTCTTGCCCCTGCCTTCCCCAGGGGCAAACCGTGGCCTGCACCTGTGCCCTCTGCCAGGAATGTGCTCCTTATGCCCCTTTTCCTGGCCCTGCCCTGGCCTGCTTTACCGACCATCATTCTCTTCCCACTCTGGGCCCCACCCAATCCGTTTTGTCCCAGTCGGGCTGCCGGGGTGGTTTTAGTTTTTATGTACATCCAATCAAACCTCGGCCCTGCTTGAACCCTGTGCAAGGCCCCCCTTCCTTGCCTCCTCCTCCTCTGTCTCACATGCGACCCACCCATGGCTGCCTTTCTTCAACCCATTCAATGGCTGAGGTCTTGTTCTCCCCTAGGCCTCTTTGTATTACGTAATGAATATGCTAATAAATTAATTCAGCTCGCTGTCACTCAGTTAATAACCACGCCCAAGAATACAATGATAAAGCAGCGGATTGGAGAGGCTGGGTTTGCCTGAGCAGGATTCCCCCTGCCTCTTTAGAGAAGGCTTCCTGTCCACTGGACATGACTCTGTGTGATCCAGCTGCCCTGCAGCGGGGACAGGCGGGTGTCCATCGGCATCCCTGTGGAGTTTCTTAGACACGCACGCTCTCAGGCCCTTGCTCGATGAGAAACCCTGAGCCCGGGCCTGGGCGATCTGTGATTTGACACGTGTGATGGCGCCTTTCACGCACTACAGGAGTCCGTTCACGAGACACTGTTTCTGGGTGGGTCTGCGGAGGTGAGCGGGGACGCGGTCACCTCAATGTGGCAACATCATTCCATCCACCCAGGGCCTGGGGAGAACGCACCATGGAGGAGGAAGGAGACTCTCAGCTCCCCTGGCTTGTTTCCTGCCCTCTGTCTGAGCCAGGACATCTCATCTCATCGTCTGCAGCTCCCCAGCTGGGACTCGCATCTTCAGCGTTGCTGGTTCTCAGGCCCTCGGTCTCACAATCACAGCACTGGCTCTGCTCAGTCTCCAGAGTGCAGGTGGCAGACTGTGGGCTCCAGCCCCTCCCCCTCGCCCCTCCAGAACTGTAACCAACACAAGATCTCTGGGTAACCGACAGCAGGGGGCACAGGCCTGGGCATGAGAGGACAATGCACTGCTGGCTCCAACCCCTCACCCCTCCCTCCAAGTCCTCTGCATGGACCCTGGGCACGGAGCACCTCGACTCGCACAGCCTTGGCCAGAGGGATTTAACAGAGCAATGCCATCAGAGGCACGGTGTGGGCTTTGTCTCCTGCTCCTCTGCTGTCACCGCAGTACACCCTGTCCAGCCTGCCAAGGGCCGAGAGACACGGAGAACAAGGCTGAGTCAGCCTCCTCTGCCCAGCCAAGACTATTTCAGTCCAGCCAACAGCTAGCTGCCTCCCCCAATACGTGAGCAGGCTCAGCCAAGAGCAGCTGCTTTGTAAACTTTCACACGGATGCCAGGGATCGTCATAGGCTGAGACTAGGCTTCTGGAGGGCAGGAGCGGGGTCTGAGCACCTGTGTTACCGACAGGCTCCCGGGGGATGTTGATGATGCTGGGTCCTACTTTGAAAAGCAAGGGACTGACCCACCTCCTGGGTAACCCAAGTCACACAAGCAAGAAATGGCTAATAGTTACAGCCCTCTGAAGCACTGTAGCTGTTGACACAGCATTCATGTAGCTGACAGGGGGCTGGCATTGTGGCACAGTGGGTTCAGTCACCACCTGCAATACCAGCATCCCATAGGAGTGTGGGTTCGAGACCTGGCTGCTCTGCTTCTGATCCAGCTCCCTGCTAATGCACCTGGGAAAGCAGTGGAAGATGGTCTAAGTGCTTGGATCCATGAAAAAACTCCAGGCTCCTGGCTTCGGCCTGGCCCAGCCCCAAACCATCACAGCCATTTGGGGGAGTGAAGCCATGGATGGAATATCCCTGTCTCTGTCTCTCCCTTTCAAATAAATAATTTTTTAAAAAACTATATCGGGCCGGCATTGTGGCGCAGTGGGTTAAAGCCCTGGCCTGAAGTGCTGGCATCCCAAATGGGCACCGGTTCTAGTCCCGGCTGCTCCTCTTCTGATCCAGCTCTCTGCTATGGCCTGGGATAGAAGTGGAAGATGGCCCAAGTCCTTGGGCCCCTGCACCCATGTGGGAGACCAGGAAGAAGCTCCTGGCTACTGGCTCCTGATCGGCACAGCTCCAGCTGTTGCAGCCATCTGGGGAGTGAACCAAGGGATGGAAGACCTCTCTCTCTGTCTTGACCTCTCTCTGTAACTCTTTCAAATGAAATAAAATAAATCTTTAAAAAAATAAAAAGTATATCAAAATGAACTGTTAGGTAGAAATGCCAATTTGGGGCGGGGGGGGGGACATAACTGACAGCCTTAGTAGATGCAGCTGATTTCTTATTAGAGATTTGACACTCAGGTGTGGGTGGAAAGGCATTTGGGATGAAGGTACGAGCTTATATAGATCCAAGCTTCCAGCAGCTGTCACCCTCAACCAAAGGAAAGAGACTCTTGGGGCCGGCACTGAGGTGCAGCAGGTTAACACCCTGGCCTGCTGCGCCCGCATCCCATATGGGCTCCGGTTCTAGTCCCGGCTGCTCCACTTCCGATCCAGCTCTCTGCTATGACCTGGGATAGCAGTGGAAGATGGCCCAAATCCTTAGGCCCCTGCACCCAAGTGGGAGACCCGGAAAAATCTCCTGGCTCCTGGCTTCAGATCGGCGTAGCTCCGGCCATTGCGGCCATTTGAGGAGTGAACCAGCGAATGGAAGACCTCTCTCTCTCTCTCTCTGCCTCTCCTCTCTCTGTGTAACTCTGACTCTCAAGTTAAAAAAAAAAAGAGAGAGAGAGAGAGACTTCTTTTTGCAGGAACACATCATACAATGAGAAGGGAGAGGAGCATTGTTCTGAGCCCCCAGTGGAGCTGCAGTTGAAGACGTTGGCTTCTTTTGGGCCTCTGATTTCTCTTCTACCTCAAGTCCCTTTGCTGCTGCCCTGGGCATGCACCCCGGCCCCAGCATCCTCAGCGAGCTGGCCGGAACGTCGGGCTGGAGACAGAGTGTCCTTCAGACTCACGTTCACGTTCAAGTTTGAAAAGTTGCTTCAGCCAGCGCCGTGGCTCAATAGACTAATCCTCCACCTTGCGGTGCTGGCACACCAGGTTCTAGTCCCGGTCAGGGCACCAGATTCTATCCCCGTTGCCCCTCTTCCAGGCCAGCTCTCTGCTGTGGCCCGGGAATGCAGTGGAGGATGGCCCAAGTGCTTGGGCCCTGCACCCCATGGGAGACCTGGAGAAGCACCTGGCTCCTGCCTTCGGATCAGCGCGGTGTGCCGGCTGCATCGTGCCGGCCGCAGCGGCCATTGGGGGGGGGGGGGTGAACCAACGGCAAAGGAAAACCTTTCTGTCTCTCTCTCTCACTGTCCACTCTGCCTGTCAAAAAAAAAAAAAATTGCTTCAACCTGGGCGGCGACACCTGCAGTAGATCCAAGTCCTCTGCTTTCTGATGTTGTGACATCAAAAACTCCACCTTGGGCAAGCGTTCAGTGCTTACCCACGTGGGAGACCCAGACGGAACTCCAAGCTCCTGGCCTCAGCCTGGCCCAGCCCTGGCTTTGTGGGCATTTAGGGAGTGAATCAGCAGATGGAAGAAATCTTCCCCTCTCTCTCTCTCTCTTTCAAATAAATGAAAATTAAATTCTTAAAAACTGCGCTCAACCATGACAGTGTCTCCGATTTGAGAAGCTCCATGGTACAGCCGACCTCAGCGACTCCCTTCAGAGAGAGGCCGCGTTCTCTTCATCTCTGAGCTCTGTCATCCTGGGCCTGGGCTGTGCTCTCACACCGGACCAAGGGGGTGCCTGGGCTGTGCTCTCACACCGGACCAAGGGGGTGCCTGGGCCTGGCATCCCCTTCTGTGCCTCCCTGGCGTCCCACCCTAACAGAGCAGACTCACTGGCTGGGACAGGGCCCCACACCCACCCGTAGGCCAACCACCAGCAAGGATGATGGGCAGGAGGGCAGAATCCACAGCACAAGGCAGTCACCCTGTGACACACAGGTCCAGGCAGGGAAGGTGGAGTCACTTTGGCCTTGCTGACAGAGGAGAGAAGCAAATCAAGGCCGCCCAGAGCACCCTCCCACACCCACTCCCGCCCCCACCCCCTCCAGAAGCCAAGGCTTGGACACCCACACCAAAATAACACTGTTTTATTCCAACCTGGAAGTTCAGCAATCCAAGCCCAAGTCTCCAGCCCAGCCCACCACACGGCAGTGCCCGCTCCTACTCCTCCGGGCACCACCAACCCGCCTGCCAAAGGGGCCAAGTCTCTGGGTCTGGGGAGAAGCCCCCCAGCCCCCGCCCTCCTTTCTTCTCGCATCCCCCAGCCCCTGCCTGCTCTCTCCTGCATCCCTGTCTCCACCCCCTCTTCTTGCACAATCTGCTCTCCCTGGCTTTCTCCCCCCTCCCCGCCCCCCAGCCCTCCCGGACTGAGCAGGCCACTCCCGCCAGACTCCCTCCATATCCTGCTGTCCCCCCCTGCCCCACCCCCCCGCTCTGTGCCTTCCTTGCCTCTGTGCACCTCTCACTCCACATTTCCTCTGCCGAGGGAAGCCCCCAAGCCCACCCTGGCCAGCAGCGCCTTATCCAAGACCTAATAAACACTGTCGGTTTCCCCTCGGACCACAGTGAGGTCCCTGGGTGATCCCAGGGGGGTGGCCAGAGGGGCGTGGCCTTAGCCCGGTTTTTCTTTTATCTTTGGGATCGAAGAATGCCTCGCCCCCTTCACAGTGGATGGTGGCGGGCAGGGGCTCCGGGGCTCTGACTAGCAGTCCCTGAGCAGGTCCACGTGGAACAAGGCTGCCCCGGTGAGGAGGCGCGCGGCGAAGACGTGTCTGCAAGGCAGGTGGCGGGCCGCGTGGATGGAGCAGCTACAGCGAGTCAGGGCCCCGTCCAGGAAGAAGTCTGAGTTGCCGTCCTTTAGGGCAAAGCCAGCTCCTGTCCAGTGGAAATCCCTGGTCCCGTGCTGCCTGGCAAAAGCCAGCTCCTCGGCCACCAGGTCTGCCAGCTCCGGCCCGCAGGCGGCTCGGAATTTGGCCAGGGGCTCCCAGTCCACTTCTTCCTCTTCCGCTCTGGAGCGGCAGCAAAGCCTCTTGGGATCCCGAGGGGCTTCTCCTTCACCCCCTTCCTGCGGGCTCTCTGCAGAGGCCGGGCCCTCGCTTCTGGGGGCTGCCCCGTCCGGATCGACTTCCAACAGAGTCCCCGGCTCCGCGGTGCCGCACGTGGCTCCAAGCCCTGGCCCCAGACACCGCCCTCCGGCGTCCCCCCACTCCAGCCCTTGCCCTGCCCTGCTCTGGGCGCCCACGCACCGGGGCACCCCGCCTCCGTCCTCCGCTGCGGCGACCCTCACGTCCCCAAGCCGGACCAGAACGACGTCCTCCAGGCCCTGCCTCCTCTTCACCGCCCACCTCGCCCCTCTCTCCTCTGCAGTCTCCGGCGCTCGTCCCCCGTCATCGCCCCAAGGGGGCGCCCTTTGGTCCCCGTTCTCAGGGAGCGATGCCAGGGGCTTCTCCAAATGCGCCCCCCTCCAGCCCAGGCCCTCCAGCCCCTTGTGGTTCTCCACTCCCCCCTGGGGCCCCTTCCAGCCTCTGGTTTTCAGTCCGCCTTCCCACTGGCCACCCCTCCAGTCTCTGACCTCTGGCCCTCTCAAGTGCTCTCTGTCCAGCTGGGACCCTCTCCACACGCTCCCCTCCAGCCCCCTCCCCTTCTGGCTCCCCAGCTGCCCACCTCTCCAATCCCTCACCTGCAGGCCCCGCCCCTTCTCACGTTCCAGCTGGACCCCGCCCCAGCCCCTGGTCTCCAGTCCCCTTGGCCACTCCTGCAATTGCGGCCCCCTCCAAATGCTCCCTTCCGTCGTCGTCGCCCCTGTCCGGTCACCGGTCTCCGGGACCCTCCCCCTCTCCTTCTCCACCTGGGGCCCCCTCCCCGGCTCGGCCCCGAGCCATGCGCCCCCGCCGTCGGGGCCCTCGGGCGCCGCCTCCCCAGCCGCATCGGCCCACTGCATGGCCACCAGGTCTCGGAGACACTGCGCCACTCCGCGCGACGGGCTCAGGCGGCGCAGCAGCCGCCGGCGGTGGCCGCGCACCAGAGCGCACGCATCCAGGTCGCGGGCCGCCTCGAAGGCGCGGAAGCGCACCCACATGTCGCGCCGCGGCGCCCAGTTGCGTTCGAAGTACTGGACAAAGGCGTCGGGGCCGTGGGCGCGCAGCTCGGCCAATGCCTCGGCGTAGGCGGCGGGCGAGGCGGCGCCGGCCAGGCGGCACAGGCGCGGCCACAGCCCCGGGTCCTCGCGGCCCGCGCCGCCCAGCTCCTGCGCCTTGCTGAAGAGCGTCTCGAGGCCCTGCGCGCGGCAGATCTGCACGCGCGCGCCTGGCAGCAGCTGGCGCACGGCCCGCAGCTGCGCCGCCACCTCGGGCCCGGCCGTGAGGCAACGCACGCGGCCCTTGACGTCGGGCGCGCTCTGCAGCAGCGACACCAGCACGAAGCGCAGCAGGCTCGGCGTGCCCGGGCGCGCCACGCAGCAGGCGGCCTGGCGCGCGCGCCCCGCGCCGTCCACGCACAGCACGGCCAGCAGGTCCAGCGCGCCCTGCAGGCCCGGCAGCCGGTCCACCAGCAGCATGCGCGGGAAGCGCCGCAGCAGCGCCCGGGTACGCGACGTCAGGAAGAACACGGTCTCCACCATGGCCTGGTCCTCCACGAACACCAGCTTCACCTGCGGGCAGAGGCAGGGGCGGGGCCAGAGGTCAAGGGTCTCCGGGCCGGCTTCTAACCACGTGTTCCTGTCTCCGCGCGCCTCTCCCGCCGTGCCCTGCTCTCCCGGTCTCTCCCTGTCTCTGTGTGTTCTACCGAGGGGATCTCACCCGCCTGATCAACCTCTCGGCCCCTGGGTGCCTCGTCCATAGCCCACCTCGGCCCTGAACTCGCAAAAACCCGGCCCCACTCCCCGCCCCCGCAACTCAGGCCCCAGTTCAGGCGCTCCACACCTCGCACGCGCGATCCGTCCCCCAGGCTCTCCCCTGCTTCCCCCATGCCCCTGGCCGCCACCCTGGCTCCAGCCACCACCAACGTCTATCCTGATGACCCTCGCAGCCGCCTCCCCGCTGGGCTCCCAGTGGTGCCCACGCGGCAGCCCAAAGGGCATTTTCAGCTTGCACCTCCCTGGGCTTGGAACTCTCCCTGAACCTGCATTGCAGCCCAAACTGTGAGCCCCCAACACAGCCTTGGGCACTCAGACCCTCGGCCCTCATCTCCAGTCTCTGCAGCCACCTCGGCCTCAGCCACTTTGGCGCCTGGCGTTTGCAAAAGAAGTCACTGGGCAGGGAGGGGAGATGGGCAGCTGCCAGCCAGGGGCCTCCTGTATTGGCCGTTGGAGCCATTTGGGGAGTGAACCAGCAGGTGGATGAGCAATCTCCTCTCTCTCTCTCTGCCTCCGTTTATAACTTGGTCAACATCCCCCAGCCAGTAAAAGGCCCAGCCAGAATGTATACAAGGCTTTTAGCACATACTGGGGTACTTCAAAAAGCCCATGGCAATGGGAATTAGAAAATAAGTACATTTGGGTGCATTTTTTTAGATCCATGCAGTTTTTCATGATACACATTGCTATGAGCTTTCTGAAAACTACTTGCAGGCATGGATTTCAAAGATAAAGTTTTTAAATTGGCATTTTCCCATGTACCTTCCAAAGCACTCGCGGTTCAATAAAATGGAGTCGAGGTACTAGGGTGACTTTATCATCGCGAAGATGTCTGGGAAAACGGGCAGATAGCCACAGGCAGCATCCATGCCCTGTGGGAGCCTGTGTGCTAAGCGCCAGCCCCGTTGTCACAAGAGGCGGTGGGAGGCCCTTGGCGGACCCGCCTCCCGTGTGCCAGGTCATTGCGGGTCTCCTCCTGCTGGACACTTGGCGCCTTTGCATCTTCCACCACCATTGCACAGGCACGTGACTGGTCGTAGCCAATGAAGTGTGACCGGAAGTGACCTTAGGAGTCGCTTCTGGGCAGAAGCCTCAAGTCCCTCCCTGAGATGGGGTTGGACTCCCACCCTCCTGTGTCCCCAAATGGCACCAATGAGTGGTACTTCCCACTGCTCCCTGGTGGCCTTGTAGGGGACCCAGCAGTAAAGTTCAAGTGAAGCCACTGAGCTTTGAGGGCCAGTCTCTCTGAGAGCCAAGCCCAGGGCACCCTGACTGGCCGTGTGAAGACATCCTGCCATTACCCCCTGCTTCGTCCTACCAAGAGGGAAGCAAATGAGTGGGATACACTGGGACCATTGCCTATTTGGCGTTTTCTTTCTAAAAAGGAATTGTGCAAAAATTCACAGGGTCCCAAAGGCAAATAACTTGAAGCTGCCCGGCATGGGTCCTCTCCCACCTCTTGGTTCTAATGATTTTGTTTCCATTCACTCGTCCTGCCCCGTCCACAGTTCGTGGTATTCTTCTAGCATTTATGTATAATTTCATCTTCTCAGGCTGGCACTGTGGCGTAGCAGGTAAAGCCACCGCCTGCAGTGTTGGCATCGCATATGGGCACCAGTTCAAGTCCTGGCTGCTCCACTTCCAATCCAGCTCTCTACTATGGCCTGGGAAAGCAGCAGAAGATGGCCCAAGTCCTTGGGCCCCTGCACCCACGTGGGAGACCCAGAAGAAGCTCCTGGCTCCTGGCTCCTGTCTTCAGATCGGCACAGCTGCAGCCATTGTGGCCAGCTGGAGATTGGACCAGAGGGTGGAAGACCTCTCTCTCTGCCTCTCCTTCTGTGTGTAGCTCTGACTTTCAAATAAATAACACAGCACATGAAGTCCACTGTTGTGCACCTTGCTTTTATGGCCTAAAACCTACCTGAGAGATCTTTCCAGATCAATCCCTAGAGCTACTCTCGCTCTCTGTTAGTGCTTCGTGGTATTCTGTGGATGGGCGCACACGGGTTATGTAACCAGCACCCACTTCTGCAGTCTCATGGTTCCCCATCCTTTGCTGTCACCAGGCACAGTGATACCACTGTCCCAAAGTCCCACGTGGCCACGCCTGCAGGATAAACTCCCGGCAGCGGGAGTGCGGGTCACAGGGCCAGCGCTGCGGTCACTCTGGCAGACACAGCTAAACTGCCCTCGGCTGAGATGGTGCCAGGTCAGCATCGAGCAGAGAGAGGCCCCCGCAGGTCGGCACCCCCCTCTCAGAAGGCAGACAGAGCGCACCCAGGGGAGAAGGCTGAGCTCTCGGCCCAGACCTGGTTCTGCTCAGGCTGCAGCTCGCTGGTGTCTGGGGTGGAGACGTGACTGCCAGGCATCGCTGCCTTGGAGCAACTTCTAAGAGGTCTTAACACCTTTGTGGATAAAGGGCCACCCGGTGCTGCCCACCAGTGGTGCCTGTGTGCTGTGGCTCTGGGGCATACCTTGCTTCTCTGGCCCCCCTCCGAGACCAAGAGAGCCACCCTAGCTCAAGAAACGCCTCGGAAGCTGGCTTTCCCACGCAATCCCTCCTCTGGAGACTGCAGGGAATTGAAAAGAACAGTACCTGGTTGACGCTAAGCCCGGTGTTGGGATGAGAATAAGGAGCTCTTTCTTATACTATCAATATATCATCAATCATGCAAGGGCAACGCCGGGTGGGGCTCTGGGTAACAGTGGTGGCCCTGCCACACCTCTCTAACTTCCCTCTCTCCCAAACCTCAGCTGTGGAAATGGCTGTTCCTAAAGCCAGGGCTAAAGGGAAGGCGTGGATATTTGACAAGTGGAGGCTGGAATGCAGGCAGGCAAATAAGCTGACCCCCTCCCCACCAGATGAAACAAAACCCCATGAATCCTAAGCCAGCGACTTGGGAACACTGGGATCCAACAGCAGAGCCCCGGCAAGGGACCGGCTGCACCTGCTGGAGAGGGCGGGGCTAACCCAGAGCCTAGTGGGGGGAGCTGTTTGGGGAGCAGCTGCATCTCTGAACCCCACGTTGCCCTCCCCCTCCTGGGACTGAGGGTTTGCTCTGCAGACAGGGACAAGCAGTAAAGGTCACCGGCCGTGGAGACATCAGGCCCATGCAAGGCGCAGGGCACGGGGCTGGAGTGCATCCTGCTGACCCGGCCACTCCCCAGCCCTCCTGCCCTGCATGCTCCCAGAAGCCTGCGGCATGGCGTCTAGCCCGAGTCAGGGGTTTGGAGGAGTTTTCTCCCAGGGGGTTTGAGCAGCTCTGACACCTGGCACTCACCAGCACTTAAAGCAAGATGCAAAATAGTGGGTAGCACAGGCCCCCACCAGGTTAAAAATAGACACCCCAACACACCTGCCCCAGGGAGGCCTGTGCTGTCCTAGCCAAAAGGCGCCAGCCGAGGACTCTGCGACCTCACCCCGGGGGGGAGGGCGGGGGGCGGCAGGGTCCAGGGCGCTCTTCACCCTGCTGCCTTCCGGCCTCAGAGCCTGTGCCTGGTGTATAAAACAGTCAGCGGTTCAGTGCTTCCTTAGCCAGGATAGCCTCTCAGGGGTTGCTAGGACTTATTTCTCTCTGGGTATTCACATCCATACGTGGCCTTGGTTCGCTCTGGATTCCACAACAACCTCCCAAGAGGGAGTTTAAAGGTGAACCACTCTCCTGTCCCGGATGCAAGGTGTGCCCCCGCGAAGGGGCGGGGCTTAGTCACTCAACCCTGGCCAGTGGGCAACAGTCAGTGAAGACCGGCAAGGAGTGCGGTCCCTGTGTGTGTACCCATTTCACAGTCTGGCAAACTGACCTGGCTGGGGTGGTCAACCTTCTGGAAGTTAGACTGTGGGGGAGGGGGGTGGGAGAGAAGGGGAGGCTTCATTTTCAAACTGGGAAATGCTGCAGGCAAGTAGCAGTGAACACAGATGACCCTGGACCCAAACTGTGCGTCCAAGTTCAGCTCTGGCACGACCTAGCTGTGTGACCCTGAGCCGGTTCCTGGCCTGTGTTCCAGCTTCCTGGTTTGTAAAAGGGGTGCAGAATGGTGGATCTTTCCTTGGAGGGCCCTAGTGAGACTGACATGAATGACAGAACCTGCAGCACTTAGGGTAATGCCTGGCGCACAGCGGGTGCCTGACAAAAGTCATGAGGGGGCCGGCGCAGTGGCACAGTAGGTTAAGCCTCTCCCTGCGCTGCTGGTAGCTCATATGGTCACCAGCTCGAGTCCCAGCTGCTCCACCTCCAATCAAGCTTCCTGCTAATGCACCTGGGAAAGCAGTAGAAGGTGGCCCAAATGCTTGGGCCCCTGCACCTGCTTGGGAGACCTGGAAGAAGCTCCTGGCTCCTGGCTTCAGATTGGCCCAGCTCTGGCCATTGCAACCATCTGGGGAGCGAACCAGCAGGTGGAAGATCGATCTCTCTCTCTCTCTCTCTCTCAATTCCACCCAGACATTGAATCACAGCAACAGGAAGTGGCATTCTCACTGCTCCTCCAACCCACAAGCCGGCTCTGGCCACTGGGCCTTTGCACCTGCTGTCCCAAATGCCTGTGATGGCAGCCCGGGGGGTCCCTCCCCTCCCCTCCACGCCATGTCCCCGGCGTCACCTTCACTTCCCTCTCGAGGCCTTCCTCGCCTGGATCCCCCTCCAAGCCCACCCTCGCCTCCTCACTCCGTCACCTCCTCCTCCGTCTCACTCTCCGTCCGGGTGGTGAGTGCCCAGGTGTTCCCACTAGGGAGCATTCGCCTGACTGCATACCTTGCATTTTGTACATTTCCCACGAGCGCAGGCCAGCTTTTTAAAAGAATGTTTAAATCTCACTTTCCCTCACCTGGGCCTCTCTTCCTCTTAGCTCCCAGCTCTATCACCCTCAAGAGTCTCTGGGCTGCTGGCCTCTCCCGCTGCCGCAGCTGCCAGTGGCTATTAAAATCTCAATTAATTACAATACAATAAGCTCAGCCCCTGGGTCGCTAGGCCACCCTGCAAGTGCTCACTGGCCACGGGTGGCTGGGGGCTGCCACAGTGGGCAGCTCAAGGGCCCGGAACATTCCATTGTAGCACAAAGTGCTGGCTGGGCAGCGCTGCATGCCGGGGGCCACTGCGTCCCGCCCCCTGCAGCCTCCCCAGCGCCTCGGTGCGGGAGTAATGAATGCATGGAAGTGGGTGGAGGGGTGGAGGATGAGTGAAGGGATGGCCCAGGGTCCTGCTCCCCCCACTCCCAGAGACCCTACCTTGGCCTCGGGGTCGGTGCGGAAGAGCCCCTCGAGCACGTGCAGGGCGTCCAGGACGCCGTGGTCCGGGCCCTTGCAGTGCGAGAGCAGGCGACGCACGTCGGCCGGGGCCACGAACTGCTTGGAGATCTTGTTGGTGAAGCGTACGGGCAGGCAGGCGTTGGCCAGCAGGTGCCCCGGGCGGAAGTGGTAGGCGAAGTCAAGCGGGCAGGCCGGGTGTGAGTGGGTCAGCTGGCACTCGGACACCACCAGGCGGTCCCGCAGCGGGCTCAGCTTCACGGTGATGAAGGCCGGGCAGCTGGGCTGGGGGGCCCTGCGGGAGGAACGACCACCGACCCCGTCACTCCACTCTGCCCGTCTCCTCGTCCTCGCTCTGGTTTGGTTGAGCAAGGATTGCTGTGAGCGCAGAGCAGTGCAGAGGGCCCCCAGTCTCCCCATGTATGAAGTGGGAAGGGATCACCACCGTGCCTTTCTCCCGGGGCTGCCGGGAGGAGGAAGAGAACTGGCAGTACCTGGGTACTTGTAGAAGTTGGTGGGAAACGGCATTACAAGGTAAATCAATTCTGGTTGAAAAAAAAAAATTGAAAGTCATGCCTAATTCATAATCCACATTTTCCATGAATCCATTGATGATCTTTTTTTTCTTGCACCAAGATAACCTTATCTTTTAATCACACTTTCGATTTGTTGGAGTGCCCTGGTACGGAATGCACTTCATAAACGGTGCCTGCAACCTGGTGCCCACCACAGGTGTGGTATAGCTCTGCCCCTCCCGCCCAGCCCTCCCGACATGGAGTGGAGGTCTGCTTAGAGTTAGCAGGAAACTTTTCAGGAATCAGCCATTTCAGAGAGTGCTGTAGTCTGCTGGAAGATCTGTGTGTGTGTGTGTCTGTCTGTCTGTCTGTCTGCCTCTCCCTATCACTCTGCCTTTCAAATAAAGTGAAAATCTTTGAAACAAACAAAAGGTCGCATATGCAAAATGGTGCTCAAACTGGATCCTCACCAAGCATATAACCAACGGAAGTCCTAGGAAAATGCACGGCACACCGCCAGGGGCCCAAAAAAGCATGCTGGGAGGCAGGGGACTGCAAGCCTCACGCATGGCCGACGGCCCCACGGAGACCGCCCAGCAAGCCCACTCAACACAAATGCCTGCCCACTGGCACCTGACACTGTGTTCTAGAACATTCACGGCAGCACTCGTCACGTTGGCTGAACACCTGCGACGCACACATCCCAGCAGAACGAGCAGTAGGGATGAGGGAGCCGGGACCGTCTCCAACACGGGGTGCGTTGCAGACCTGCTGTGTGAGAGGAGCCCCACCCCCACCCAGGAGCAACCCCTGTGTGTATCTACAGAGTTCCACTGAGAGCAGAGTTAGCCTCTGCCACGCACATGTCCACCCTCTGTGGGGGCGGGAGGGGGCTTCTTGGGACCAGACGGGGTTCATTTCTGGTTCTGGGTGCTGGCTACACATGTGTTCCTCTTTGGGGAAATCTATCAGGAGGCGTGCACAGGGTGGTAGCACTTCTGGGGGGGCGGGGGTATGTTCCACTTTTTCTTCTTTTTTTTTTTTTTAATTTGACAGGTAGAGTTATAGACAGTGAGAGAGAGAGACAGAGAGAAAGGTCTTCCCTCTGTTGTTTCACTCCCCAAATGGCCGCCAGAGCCGGCGCTGCACTGATCTGAAGCCAGGAGCCAGGTGCTTCCTCCTGGTCTCCCACGCAGGTGCAGGGGCCCCAAGGACCTGGGCCATCCTCCACTGCCTTCTTGGGCCACAGCAGAGAGCTGGGCTGGAACAGGAGCAACTGGGACTAGAACCCGGTGCCCATATGGGATGCCGGCACTGCAGGCAGAGGATTAACCAAGTGAGCCACAGCGCTGCCCACCCACCCCCCACCCCCCCCCGCTTTTTCAAAGTGCACGCAGAAAGCCTGCGTTTTCTAGCAGTGTGGCAGGGAGCCTGCCATCCCCCCCGGCCCCCACCTGGGGATGTTCACATCTCGTGCCAGGGCTGTGCACGCATCACCACAGGCAGCAAACGGGACGCTCCAAGTGGAACTGCATTAAGGGCCTTGAGATAGGAGAGTCTGTGTTATCCAGGTGGACTCCGTGTCATCAGGGGGTCCCTCTAAGGGGAAGAGAGAGGCAAGCTGGTGGGACATGACAAGGGGCTGCCCAACTGAGGGAGGGCCATGGGAATTCAGCCCACCCAAATCCTGTTCTGGGGTGCCAGGGCTTCTTTGCCAACTCCAGCTCCTGACCCCAGGTTCCTGCTAGTACAGAGCCTGGGAGGCGGCAGACCCAGGTAGCTGGGCCCCAGCTTGCATTGAGTTCCCGGCTCCTGGTTCAGGCCCAGCCCCAACTATTCTGGGTGTTTAGGCAGTGAATCTGCAGACAGGAGCACTCTCTGTCTCCAACAAAGAATAAAATGGAAACAGAGGAGGTCAGCGCTGTGGCGCAGCGGGTTGAAGCCCCGGCCTGCAGCACCAGCATCCCTATGGGCACTGGTTCAAAGCCCAGCTGCTCCACTTCCAATCCAGCTCTCCTGGGGAAGAAGAAGAAGATGGCCCAAGTCCTTGGGCCCCTGCACCCATGTGGGAGACCCAGAAGAAGCTCCTGGCTCCAGATGGGCTCAGTTCCAGCCATTGTGGACACTTGGGGAGTGAACCAATGGATAGCAGATCTCTCTGTAATTGTCTTTCAAATAAATAAAATAAAATTTTTTTAAAATGAAGGACAAGACCTTGCACCAAAGACCACGGGAAGTGGTGCCAGCTTTCCTAACCCTCAGCGCTGCATGGTCATAGAAGGCATTTTGCACAAACTGAAGACCCGACATGCAGCCACCACGTCACACACAGCCACCTGCTGCCTGCCTGGCCACACTGCAGGCTATGAAGCCTTTTCAGTTCCTGTCCTCACACTCACCGCCCTGCCGACCCCCGGGGCGCTCCCCCAGCTCTGCCAGGGCTCTCTGAGCCTCCTCTGCAGGTGACAGCATGCTTGGCCCAGGAAGCCGCATAGCTCAGGGCATGGATGGAATCAGCACGGGGAGCTACAACCAGGGGAGAAAATCCGCCCACACGTGGTCCTTGCACAAAACATGCAAAACGTGCACCTGCTCCCTGCAAGGGGGCGGGCATTCCTCTGAGGGGGAGCCTCAGCCTACAGGAGGCTGGTGTGCACAGAGCAGCAGAGCTGTCACTCATCTTGTGCAAGGGGCCAGGGAGGAAATAAACACGCAGCCGGCCCAGGCCCTGGGGGTCGGCTGATGCCGGGTTGGAAATACTCGAGGGAAATCCCTGTGCCCGTTGGACACCGGCTGCATGACTCAGGTTATGTAAAAACCACACTGTCACACACAGCGCTTGAGCGGCCCCTGGAGTTGATTTCTGTGGGGGTCCAGGAACCAATCCCCATAGACGTTGAGGGGCAACTGTAGGAGTGAGTGACTGAAACCCACTTGGTAATCTAGACCCCCCCCCCCCCGGCACAGCTCCCCTGGGACACAGCACCCCAGTGCACACACACCACCCACGGTCCTGCCCGTTCTGCCTCCGGAACCTTTCCCAACCATCCACTTCTTCCATTTCCAAGGCCACCAACCTGAATTCTCTCCCCCTCCCTGTCCCTTCTTCACCTGGTCAACGCCTGTCATCAGGCCTCAGAGCCAGCACCACCTCCTCCAGGAAGCCTTCCCTGACCACCCCCAGGCTAGCACCAATTCCATCACAGATTGGATGGATGCCTGTCTGTAATGCATGCTCCCCACTGAAACCCCAGCATCTAAGACACACAGACTGACAGACACACACACACAGCCCTTGTGCACAGCAGGTGTTCAGAACAAATCTCTTAGATGAATGGATTTTGGTGCCTAGAACCAAGAAATCTTCAGAGGGCAAACACATCTCTCTCATTTTCATAATCCAAGATTCAAAGATGGCAAGTAGAGAGGGCCAGTGTTGTGGGTTAAGCTGCTGCCTAACAAGGCCGGCATCCCTTATGGGCACCAGTTTAAGTCCCAGCTGCTCCACTTCCAATGCGGCTCTCTGCTATAGCCTGGAAAAGCAGTGGAGGATGGCCCAGGTCCTTGGGCCCCTGCACCCGTATGGGAGATCCAGATGCAGTTACAGGCTCCTGGCTTCTGCCTGGCCTAGCCCCGGCTGTTGTGGCCATTCGGGGACTGGACCAGCGGATGGAAGACCTCTCTGTGTCTCTCCTCTCTGTAACTGCCTTTCAAATAAATAAATAAATCTCAAACACACACAGGAAGTAGAGTGGATGAGGAGGGGAGGAGCCAGGCTCAGGGTGGACACTGGTCCACGGATCAAGCTACAGCTCCTGACAGCAGCAGCCTGTTTAGGTCTTGGCTGCTCTGCTTCTGGTCCAGCTCCCTGCTCATGCATCCTGGGAGGCGGCAGACGACGGCTCGAGTGCTTGGGCCTCTGCCGATCCCTATGGGGACCCAGATGGAGTTCTGGATCCTCACTTTGGACAGGCCCAGCCCTGGCTGTTGTAGGCACTGGGGGAGTGAACCAGCAGAGGGAAGAGCTCCCTCTCTGTTGCTTTGCCTCTCAGTTAGATGAAAGCAAATACAGAACTATTTTTCCAAAAAGGCATGGGCGTGGGGTGAGCCTTCGGCCTCGTGGTAGACGCTGGTTAGGATGCCGGCATCCCACACCAGCGAGACCCTGGCACGTGCCGGGGTCTCGCTGGCTGCACTGGCTCCTGCCTCTTGTTTCCTGCTAATGCAGACCCTGGGCGGCAGCAGGGTCGGCTCCCATAGTTGGGTTCTGCCTCACACCTGAGACCTGGACTGGGCGCTGGGCTCCTGGCTTCCCCCTTGGCTGCTGCAGGCATTTGGGGAGTGAACCAGTGCAGGGGAGCTGCGTCTACTCTCAAACCCATTTTTTTAACCACGCTGTGCCCCAGCCTTCTCATCTGGAGATGGGGGTTTAACAATGGCAGTGGCCTCTCCAGGAGGACTGAGGACTACGTAAGGCGGACAGCCAACAGGCCAGCGCACAGCGGACGCTCGAGAACACCCGAGCTGCCGTCTCCAAAGACACTTCTGCTGCTTTTCAAAGTTCCTCTGCTTTGAGTTCCTTGTGCCACCCCTCTTCCCCCATCCCAGCTCCTCTCGACCCAGTGGGCTGTCAGGATCCTCCGGGTGCTTGGCCAAGGCTGAGCGGCACAGCAGTGGAGCCGGAGCCGGCGCTGCCACCTGTCATCTCCCCCCAACCTGGCCCCTTTGCCACCTGCCTTCTTGGAATCCCCCTGTTGCATTCTGAGCTCTGGGTTCCAACCAGCGCCGAAGGACACGCACACGGCAGGCGCTCGGTGAGTACCCATTATGTCCACCTGGGTTCCGTCAGCACAGGGAGAGCCCAGAGCTGCAGTTCTGGGTGATGGCTGCTGATCACAGCTCCGATCTCTGTCTCTGAATTAGGGAGCTGACCAGCGAGACCGGTAACCCCGCCATGAGCGAGTGTTCTAACAAGGATGGCGAGAACAGCTCCCAGGGCACCCGTTTGGGGCTAGTGGCTCTCGGAACGGCACGAGGGGAGTTATAATAAAAAGCCTATTTTGGGGCAAAACCAAATCTTGAATGCAGCCATCACATCATACTTTTCCCATAGGAAAAACCTTGTTTTGCACCAATGTAAACTGAACTTTCAATTTTTCCATGAACTTCTTCACGTACCTTCAGATCGGCTCACTTAACCCTCGCAGAACCCACAAGACAGAGACTCATACAACCCCCCTTTACCAAGAAACTGAGGTCCAGGAAGCTGAAGTCCCTTGGCCATGTGCAGGAGCCATCCAGTCCAGGCTGCTGCACCTGCCATGGCAAGTGTGCCGATACAGCCCCAGGCTCAGTGCCGCTCTTAGGCTTGATTTCAGGGTCTCCTCACAACAGCACTGAGGCAGGCACTGCCACGAACCCATTTCACAGACGGGAAAACTGAAGCCCACACCTACCAAGCCACTGCCCAAAGACACCCACCCAGGGTGTGGCAGAGCCTGCAGGCATGGCCCGTGCCCTCGTCCATGGGTCTCAAACCCACACACCTACGGGGCCAGGCCGCAGGATGAGGGAGTGACAATGTGAAGTCAGGGCAGAGCGGGTCCCATGTGTCCCTTACCACCTCCTATGTGTCAAGAGGAGCTGAAACCCACAGTTGTAGGGACGACCAGCCTGGCTTAAAACCAGTGAGAGTGTCCCTGGCCAGACGGCTGTGGTCCAGAACTCAGGTCCCTCTCCCGCCCCTTCTGGAAACCCCCTATGAACCATCTCCCTGCCCGGTCTGAACGTTCCAGAACAGCAGGATTCTGTCTCTTGCTCATCAGTTCCCAGCCCCAAACTAAAACATCGCCAGCTCCCAGCCTGGGACAGTGCAATTCCTGAACCGACGATGGTTTTCAGTACCTTACTTCAAGGTGTGCAGAATCTGGCTCCCTGCTTCCTGCCCTGTCCCCATGCTTCTAGAATGTTCTGTGACTTCTATCTCCCTGTCTTCCTAAGAGTCTTTCTGAAAGCCCATGGCACAGAGCCACTGGGTCACCCTGCCCACGCGTCTCCAGGTTTCTAGAATGTTCTATGACTTCCTTCTGTTTCCCTGTCTTCTTAAGGGTCCTTCCGGAAGCCTGTCACTCAGAGCCACAGGGCACCCCCACACACACTGCGTCCCTAATTTCTAGAATGTTCTGTGACTCTCCCATCTGTCTCCTCCAGAAGGGTCTTTCTGGAATCTCAGATCCACTGGGTCACTGCAGCCCCCCAAGGCTCCACCACCACAGCCCCGTTTCTAGAATGTTCTGTGACTCTTCCATCTGTCTCCCTCCATAAGGGTCTTTCTGGAAGCTCAGATCCACTGGGTCACATTGCAGTCCCTCGAGGCCCCCCTACCACATTCCCAGTTTCTAGAATGTTCTGTGACTTTTCCATCTGTCTCCTTCTCCAAGGGTCTTTCTGGAATCTCAGATCCACTGGGTCACACTGCAGCCCCTCGAGGCCCCCCTACCACATCCCCGGTTTCTAGAATGTTCTGTGACTCTTCCATCTGCTTCCCTGTCTAAGGGTCTTTCTGGAAGCCCCTGCTATGGAGCCCCCCCATGACCCCGCCCCCCAGCCCACCCCAGCGGGCGCGCGCTCACGCACAAGGCGGGCTGGCCGGGCGCGCGCATGTCCTTGCACACCAGCCGCACGTAGCTGTACTTGAGCACGTCGATGAGCCGGTAGAGCGGCGGCGCGCTGGCCCAGGGGCTGCGCGCCACGTGCGTGGAGCTCTTGACAGAGAACACCACCAGCCGCTGCTGGCACCACGCGTCGAAGAAGCGGCTGAACTCGGCCCAGGAGAAGAAGGCCCGCTCCAGCAGCTCCTGCTCCTCCTGCCCCGCCGCCGCCGCTGCGCGGGGAGGGGGCTCCGGCAGCGGCTCCATCCTGGGGCCTGGGGGAGGGGGCGGGGAAGAGGCGCTGGGTGTCAGGCCCGGCCCCACCTGCTCGGTCCCCCTTCCCAAGCAGAGCCTTAACCCCTTATGTCCCGGCGTCCCCCGTGTTAGGACCCCTGGAAAGACCCAAGTGGAACAACGAATAAAGCCCTCAGGGTAACCTGGACGTGAGTGCTGTGTTGCTGAAATATTCTAACTGGAAACGGGTTCAGGAACGAGAACATCGCCCTAGATGTGTGTGGACTTCTAGCCAGGGCCCCCGCCCCCTGCACAACCGGAACTCCCCCCCCTCCGCCCGCTGTCACCTCCCGATGGGCCCCCAGCCCCAGGTTTATCCATGCACCTGCCGCGGCTCCGCCCCAGCTGTGGTCTCCCAGGCGCGGCTGCCGCCCCCAACTCCTCCACGGGCAACCCCTGCGGCTCCCGCTGCCCCAGGGCGCTCCCATCTCCAGGTGCGCGCCCCGCGGTCGGCCACGGAGCCTCTGCCTACAGGTGCGAGCCCCACTCGTGGCTCGTCCAACTCAAAAGTGTCACCGAGGTCCATCGCTGCTCCACCTCCTTCCGAGACGCGGCCCCCAGCTCCAGCGGCCGCCGCCGCCACCATCCCCCTCAACGTGCCTCTTCTTTCTAGACATGGCCCTCGGTCCTCGCGTGGGCTTCTTCACCCCCAGCCGCTGCCCCCACGCCCTCCCACCCGCTGCAGCTCGGGCCCGCCGGCTCCCGCTTCCCCAAGCCCTCTCAGCCCCGCTCGCCGCGGCCCCTCCCAGCCCCGCCGCCCCACCCAGCTGCGCCTCTCCGCTCCCCCAGATGTGCACCCTTCCCGCCCCCCCCACTCACCTACCCACCCCGGAGCGGCGTCCACTTCCCACAATGCCCCGCGCTGAAGCCCGGCCCGGCCCTTGCTCCCGGGATGCCCCGCGCTGCTTCTCGCCTCTCTTCCCGCCGTGCCTCGCGCGGCGGCTTCCCCCTCAACCTTCCTCTTACTCCGCCAGTCACCACCCCTGGGACACTCAGCTACACCACCCCTCATCTAGGGCGAGGCGAGGCGCGGGGCCGCTTCCCGACATGCTCTGCGGGAGGGCTCACCCCACTTCACCCCTTCTCAGGGCTCTCTAGTTCGGAAGACTACAACTCCCAGCGTCCTCCGGGCGGCGACGGCGGGCGGACCACGCCCCTCGGCTCCGCCCCCGCCCCCGCCCGCCGACGTCTCTGCGCGCGAATTCCGTGGCGCGAATTCGGGGCGGCGGGGCTGCGCGGAGCCGGGCCGACTGTGGTGCCGGGGATTTCGGCGCGCGGGGCCGGCGCCAGGCAAGTGGGGGCGGCCCGCGCGGGGGGCAGAGGTCGCTGGGGGCGGCGAGCGTGGGGGCCATGGCTCCGTCAGGTCGGGGCGTCTGTCGGGCAGCGGCCGCTGAGGACGCCTGAGGCGGCCGAGAGCGCGGGCGCGAGGGGAGAGCGCGCGCGAGGGGCCGCCGGCCGCGGGGCCGAGACAAGCCAGGCCGAGGCCCGGCAGTCAGCGGCCGCCGGCCGTGGGCTCGACCGCGGCGTCGGCGAAGAGGCCCGGAGGGGCGTGGGAGGCCCGGAGGGGGCGGGGCCGGGACAGCGTGGGGTGGGCGTGGGCAGTGGGACTTGGACACCGCCCAGGGGGCGGAGCTAGTGCGGCGCGCCGGCTGTCAGGGGTGGGCCGGGCTGGACGCAGGTGGGCACCGGGAGGGAGGTCAGTGGTCGAGTCCAGAGAAGGGCCTAGCGGAGGGCGCGGAGCCCGTGGGGCCAGACCCTGGGGAGGAGGCTAGAGGGGGCGGGCAGGGAGGCGGGGTCTTGACGTCCCCCGGGGAGGGGACGCTGGGAGGGTCGAGGGGGCGGGCAGTGCAGAGGGGAAGAGGGGCGTTGGGAGAGGGCCCTGGCATCTGATACCAGGGGAGAGCACGCAGCGGGGTTCGAGGGGTGGGTGGGAAGGTCCAGGCTGGGTGAGGCCTCCCTGGTTGCATTTTGTGCGGGGGTCCCCTGGGCGTTCCCAGCCTGCAGCGCTGACTCAGGGGCGGCGGGCTTAGACCTGAATCCAAGCTGCTTCTCCGAGCTGGGGCCTCGCCCTGGTGTGCTTCGTGGCCCGCCTGGTAGCCCTGATCCTGCCAGCTTCCTTCTGGTCCGTGGAAGGAAGAACTGCCTGCTCAGGGAGAGAGAACGGAACGTCGGATGTGGTTCCGGGAGCAGGCGGGCAGGGTGTGCACTGGGAGAAAGGCGGGCTCAGCCGTCCCCGCCTGTCACCCACGGACCGTTCACCAAAGACCCCGTAGGCTCCACTCCACAGCCTGCGGGCTTGGAAGATCCTGCTTATCAACCCTGAACTGTCATGGACGGATGTTTCTGCTACCCTAATTTGGGGTAAAAAGCATGTATTGGCCAATGCGTGCAGTACTAAGTACTGCTTAGGCCCTGCGGTCACGTCCCTGAATGAAATAGACAAAATCTGTACCTTCCAGGAACTCGGGTTTTAGCCCCACATTGCGCAATACGGTAGCCACTAGCCACGTGAGCTACTTAAATGTAAACTAATTAGAGCAAGAGACTTAGCTCCTGAGTCTCACAAGGTACATTTCACTTTTTTTTAATGGGAGGCATTTGATGCATGTATTTTTATTTTTTGATTTTTCTAGAGATTTATTTCTCATTTGAAAGGCAAAATTAGAGAAACAGAAGCAGAGAGAGAGAGGTGGGGGGCCTAGCATCAGCTGGTTCACTCCCCAGATGGCCAGCTGAGCTGGTCCAAAGCCAGGAGCTTCTTCCGGGTCTCCCACGCAGGTGCAGGGGCCCAAGGACTTGGGCCATCTTCCACTGCTTCCCCAGGCCATAGCAGAGAGCTGGATCAGAAGTGGAGCAGCTGGGACTCAAACCAGTGTCCATATGAGATGCTGGCCCTGCAGGAGGCGGCTTTACCTGCTACGCCACAGCGCCGGGCCCGCGTTTCACTTTTTTTGTGACTCAAGTTTCAGTTTTAAATTTTTAAGTTTTTTAAAATTTTCTTTTACTTGAAGGGCAGACAGCTATCTTCTGTCTGCTAATTTACTCCCCAAATGCCTACCACAGGCAGGAGTGAACCAGGCTGAAGCCAGTTGCCTGGACTCCATCCAGGTCTCCCACATGCATGGCAGGGACACAGGTACCCTAAGCCATCACCTGCCACCTCCCAGGGTAGAGTGTGCTTTGGCAGGAAGCTGAGCCAGAGTGGAGAGTGCATGGTGGGGTCCACGCCCCCCCACCACAGCCGCAGCCGGGGGGTCAGGAGGGGCTGCTTGTCCGTTAGTATTTGGGGGCAGAGCCGATGCCACTTGGTCCTGCGTGAGTTTGGGGTGTGAGAGAAGGCAGCGAGTCAGTGGGGATCCAGGGTTTGGGTTTGTTTTTTTTTTTTTAAATATGATGTACAGTAAAATACAGCCTTTGGTGTGAATGTTGAGTGGGAAACAGTCACATAAGCACCACAGTCAAGACTCCGTCCGTTACCCCCGGCAGACGCCCTGCCCTGTCTGCCAACAGCCTTCCCCGCAGCCACAGCAGTGTCTGCTCCGTAGCTGGTCTCGGTCGCTGTCGCTCTTACGGAAGCAAACCTCGCCGCCTCCCCGAGCTAGGCGCGCTGTGCTCACGCGCGCCGCCGTGTGTCCTCCCCGGGAAGCGCAGTCCTCTGAGCTTGCCGGCAGAGCTGCAGCACTCCTTGGCTCACAGGGTCTTGTGTGGACGCAGGGTTTCACTGGGAGTGGGGGGAGCAGTGTCCGGAGCCATGGGGTAGGTGAGAGACCACCAGACTGTTCCCAAGGGCAGTGCCGGCGCTGCTCTCCTCTTAGCAGAGCGAGAGTCCAGTATGGCCTGCCGTCTGAGCACGGCACGCTCTGAGGTCGAGTGGTTGGTGTTTGTTTCATATTGCAGTGTTGCTTACTTCATGTTTCTAGAACTTTCTGTATGAGTGCCCTTCGTTCTGCTTGCTTTTATCTGGGCTTGCAGAAGTTGTAAAGGAGAGAGAGCCAGTCTTCCCTGGTCTCCTAGCGGGGCGTCGTGACTTGTAAAACGGGAGTGTTTCTTGAAGGGGAAAGTCGTGTTTCTGATGTCATTGTTCTGCTTTTTCTATGAGAAATTTACCCAACCCGTGTCCTCAGCAAGTGTGTGGCTGTGTGTTTCAGGAACGCCTCACGGGACGAGAAGAGCAGGGGACAGGAGCGAAGCGAGCTGCTGAGACGCCAGCATGCAGCGAAGCATCATGTGAGGACCCCGCCATCCCCTCCCCACACGCGCATGCACATGCGCGCACACACACATGCATGCACACGTGCTCTTTCTCTCTCTGCAAGTCCTCTGCTGCTTTCTCTAAACCAGGCCATTTCTCAGAAGCAGTCGAGTTCAGCCTCAGGCTGGGCGCCGTCCCAGGACTTGAGTTGCGTGGAGGCCGGGTCGCGTTGTAGCGAAGCTTCCAGCTGCGGGGACGGTGGTTCTCAGGGGTGGCGCCGCTCCCTCCCCTGGGAACGTCGCCAGGGTCGGACGGCCTCTTTGGTTGTCAGGACCTTGGCACCTGGAGGACAGGGGACAGGCTTCCTGCCCAGGATGGCCACGGCCTCGCCGGGAACATCAGCGTCTCAGCAGAGAAGCCCAAGCAGGCTGGCTTCCAGAAATGTAACAGGGAATTTCTGGAATAAATGGCCTCAAGCGCAGCTCAGTCCAGTTGCCGAGCTTCGTCGCTGAGATCTGTCTCTGTCTTGTTAGCGCTGTTGGGCGGACTCTCCCTGGGATGAGCGGTCCCGGTGGGAAGAGCTGTGTCTGTCCTACCGTCCCGGCACTATCTAGAGGCGTGTTCCATTGGGCCAGCGTGGTGCGCCTGCCTGCCCAGAGCAGCCCCTGTAGCTTAGCGCGTGGTCTCCGAGTGCCCTGGCCCGGACGGTCAGATCACGTGTGCCGAGGGGACTTGAGTCAGCTGGGCGGCGGTGGCGGCCACAGGCGCTGGGCTGCGCTTTCCTTTGCAGTGAGACATCTTGGGGTAGGCGTGCGAGGCTGTGAGAACCGTCCCTCTTCCTGCTCGTATGTCCTGTTCCATTTACTTTGGAGTGGTTTTAGGTGCGCGGGAAAGTCCTACAGGTAGCTCAGCGTTTCCGTTGCTGGCGTCGTACATCACTCTGCTCCGGTCGGCGCAGCTGCCGGCAGCCAGACTCCACGTGGTCATTCAGGTCGCACGCGTGTCTGTTACTGTGCTTTCTGGGTGCTGTGCTGCACCTGGGTGTCCCGGCCCCTCACGTCTTCAGGGCGACCCTGGAATACCAGCTCTGCGGCCTGGGTCACTGCCGAGCCCCCAGGAGCAGGGCTGGCTCTGGCACTGTGCCGCTGTGCTTTCTCCTGTTTTTTTGTTGGTTTCTTGTGTATTTCAAAGGGTAGTGCAGATTTTGCTCCCATCCACTTAGTCACTGCCCAGATGCCCATGATGGCTGGGCTGGGCCAGGCTGAAGCCAGGAGGCTGGCGCTCCATCCAGGGCCAGGGGCTCTGGCCATCACCCTGGACCTGATGCCAGTGCCCACCCCAGTGTTGTTGAATGAGGATTGAGGTGTGTTGTGTTTCTCAGGTGACCTGGGACAGAAAAATAAGCACAGCGTGGACTCCTCCACGTGAGCCTCAGCTCCGCCGTTGGTCCTGGGGCTGTCTGCCCTGTTTAGAGCTGGGGCGGGGTGCTGGGGGGGTGAGCTGGGGCAGGGGCGCTGAGGGTGAGCTGGGGGGGTGAGCTGGGGCAGGGGCGCTGGGGGTACTGAGCTGGGGCAGGGGCACTGTGGGTGCTGAGCTGGGGCAGGGGCGCTGGGGGGGTGAGCTGGGGGGCTGAGCTAGGGCAGGGGGTGCTGGGGGTTGAGCTGGGGCAGGGGCGCTGGGGGGGTGAGCTGGGGCAGGGGCACTGGGGGGGGTGAGCTGGGGCAGGGGGCGCTGGGGGTGCTGAGCTGGGTCAGGGGCACTGTGGGTGCTGAGCTGGGGCAGGGGTGCTGGGGGGGTGAGCTGGGGCAGGGGGTGCTGGGGGTGAACTGGGGGGCTGAGCTGGGGCAGGGGTGCTGAGGGTTGAGCTGGGGCAGGGGGCGCTGGGGGTACTGAGCTGGGGCAGGGGCGCTGGGGGGGTGAGCTGGGGCAGGGGGCGCTGGGGGTTGAGCTGGGGCAGGGGCGCTGGGGGGGTGAGCTGGGGCAGGGGGCGCTGAGGGTGCTGAGCTGGGGCAGGGGGCGCTGGGGGGGTGAGCTGGGGCAGGGGGCGCTGGGGGGTACTGAGCTGGGGCAGGGGCGCTGGGGGGTGAGCTGGGGCAGGGGCGCTGGGGGGGTGAGCTGGGGCAGGGGGCGCTGGGGGTACTGAGCTGGGGCAGGGGCGCTGGGGGGGTGAGCTGGGGCAGGGGCGCTGGGGGGGTGAGCTGGGGCAGGGGGCGCTGGGGGTTGAGCTGGGGCAGGGGCGCTGGGGGGGTGAGCTGGGGCAGGGGGCGCTGAGGGTGCTGAGCTGGGGCAGGGGCGCTGGGGGGTGAGCTGGGGCAGGGGGCGCTGGGGGGGGTGAGCTGGGGCAGGGGCACTGTGGGTGCTGAGCTGGGGCAGGGGCACTGGGGGGTTGAGCTGGGGCAGGGGGCGCTGAGGGTGCTGAGCTGGGGCAGGGGGCGCTGGGGGTTGAGCTGGGGCAGGGGCGCTGGGGGGGTGAGCTGGGGCAGGGGGCGCTGAGGGTGCTGAGCTGGGGCAGGGGCGCTGGGGGGTGAGCTGGGGCAGGGGGCGCTGGGGGCTGAGCTGGGGCAGGGGGCGCTGGGGGGGTGAGCTGGGGCAGGGGCACTGTGGGTGCTGAGCTGGGGCAGGGGCACTGGGGGGGTGAGCTGGGGCAGGGGGCGCTGGGGCTGAGCTGGGGGGCTGAGCTGGGGCAGGGGGCGCTGGGGGGGTGAGCTGGGGCAGGGGCACTGTGGGTGCTGAGCTGGGGCAGGGGTGCTGGGGGGGAGCTGGGCAGGGGCACTGTGGGTGCTGTGCTGGGGTGGGGGCGCTGGGGGCTGAGCTGGGGCAGGGGCCACTGGGGGGTATGACTGGGGCAGGGGGCGCTGAGGGGGGTGAGCTGGGAGGGATGAGCTGTGGCAGGAGGTGGTAGGTGTGAGCTGGGGCAGGGGTGCTGGGGCTGAGCTGGGGCAGGGGGCACTGGGGGTTGAGCTGGGGCAGGGGTGCTGGGGGGTGAGCTGGGGCAGGGGCACTGTGGGTGCTGAGCTGGGGCAGGGGCCACTGGGGGGTGTGAGCTGGGGCAGGGGGCGCTGGGGGGGGTGAGCTGGGTCAGGGGGCACTGGGGGGGGTGAGCTGGGAGGGATGAGCTGGGGCAGGAGGTGGTAGGTGTGAGCTGGGGCAGGGGTGCTAGGGGTGAGCTGGAGCAGGGGGCGCTGAGGGGGGTGAGCTGGGGCAGGAGGTGGTGGAAGCGTGGTGGGGGTGAGCTGGGGCAGGAGGCACTGGGGGGGATGAGCTGGGGCAGGAGGTGGTGGAAGCCGTGAGGGGGGTTGAGCTGGGGCAGGAGGTGGTGGAAGCCGTGGGGGGGTTGAGCTGGGGCAGGAGGTGGTGGAAGCCGTGAGGGGGTTGAGCTGGGGCAGGAGGTGGTGGAAGCCGTGAGGGGGTTGAGCTGGGGCAGGAGGTGGTGGAAGCCGTGGGGGGGTTGAGCTGGGGCAGGAGGTGGTGGAAGCCGTGGGGGGGTTGAGCTGGGGCAGGAGGTGGTGGAAGCCGTGAGGGGGGGATGAGCTGGGGCAGGAGGTGGTGGAAGCCGTGGGGGGGGGGGTTGAGCTGGGGCAGGAGGTGGTGGAAGCCGTGGAGGGGGGGATTGAGCTGGGGCAGGAGGTGGTGGAAGCCGTGAGGGGGGTTGAGCTGGGGCAGGAGGTGGTGGAAGCCGTGAGGGGGTTGAGCTGGGGCAGGAGGTGGTGGAAGCCGTGAGGGGGTTGAGCTGGGGCAGGAGGTGGTGGAAGCCGTGAGGGGGTTGAGCTGGGGCAGGAGGTGGTGGAAGCCGTGAGGGGGTTGAGCTGGGGCAGGAGGTGGTGGAAGCCGTGGGGGGGTTGAGCTGGGGCAGGAGGTGGTGGAAGCCGTGAGGGGGTTGAGCTAGGGCAGGAGGTGGTGGAAGCCGTGAGGGGGGGATGAGCTGGGGCAGGAGGTGGTGGAAGCCGTGGGGGGGGGGGGTTGAGCTGGGGCAGGAGGTGGTGGAAGCCGTGGGGGGGTTGAGCTGGGGCAGGAGGTGGTGGAAGCCGTGAGGGGGGGATGAGCTGGGGCAGGAGGTGGTGGAAGCCGTGGGGGGGGGGGTTGAGCTGGGGCAGGAGGTGGTGGAAGCCGTGGAGGGGGGGATTGAGCTGGGGCAGGAGGTGGTGGAAGCCGTGAGGGGGTTGAGCTGGGGCAGGAGGTGGTGGAAGCCGTGGGGGGGTTGAGCTGGGGCAGGAGGTGGTGGAAGCCGTGGGGGGGTTGAGCTGGGGCAGGAGGTGGTGGAAGCCGTGAGGGGGGGATGAGCTGGGGCAGGAGGTGGTGGAAGCCGTGGGGGGGGGGGGGTTGAGCTGGGGCAGGAGGTGGTGGAAGCCGTGGGGGGGGGGGATTGAGCTGGGGCAGGAGGTGGTGGAAGCCGTGAGGGGGTTGAGCTGGGGCAGGAGGTGGTGGAAGCTGGGGGGTTGTCGAGCTGGAGCAGGAGGCACTGGAGGCTGGGGCTGCGGGTGCTGTATCTTTCCTTTGCTCCCCTGTCCTGCAGGTCATTTTTTTACCCCACAAAAGAGGGGAAGACGAAGAAGCCTGAGAAGGAGACGTCCCACAGCGGCAGAGAGGCAGAGCCACCACCCAAGTACGCAGGGGCCCGGGGGTCGCAGACCTGAGGCCTTTGGCAGGCCTCGGGCCCGGGAGGAAGCTGTAGTCCAGGGGTGAAGGCCTCGGGCAGATCTGCCCCAGGCCCAGCAGGATGCAGGGCCCCGGTGCTGTCCTTGGGCCCCGGCCTCCTCCTAGGCCAGACTTCCTCCCGGAAGCAGAGAGGCTGGCCGCTGGCTTGGCCTCGCCTCAGTCAGATGACCGGCCCTGGCGCAGCCCGCTGGCCAGAGCATGGCCTGAGCAGCTCACATTACTCAGTCCCTGGGCAGGGGACTGCCTCCCGAGTGGGCGGGGTGGTAGATGGATGACCAAGAGAATACACCACGGAGACGCCCAGAGAGCACCCACTGACTGCTGGGAGGAAAGGAAGGGGGGAGGTGGGGGACGCACATGCGTCTGGGGCGGTGCCTGTCCTGATGCCCATGGTCCCCACCTTCCAGGGTGGCGCTGAAGGAGCGCAATGGCGTGGTGGCTGGGAGCGACTCTCCAGTGAAGAGGCCTGGGAGGAAGGTGGCCCGCGTCCTGAGCAGCGAAGGGGAGGAGGAGGACGAAGCCCTCAGCCCGCCCAGGAGCCAGGTCCGTCCCTGTCAACCTGTGCAGAAACAGCTGGGGGGGGGGGGGGGCTGCTGGCGGTAGTATGCTGGGGTCTCTGCTGGGACAGCACACGGACCAGGTGCTGGGAAGGCCTGCAGACCCAGCCGCTGTACCCCAAGACCCAGAGCCGGCCACCAAGCAGGAGGGGCTCAGCCCACTGTACCCCAAGACCCAGAGCCGGCCACCAAGCAGGAGGGGCCCAGCCCACTGTACCCCAAGACTCAGAGCCGGCCACCAAGCAGGAGGGGCTCAGCCCACTGTACCCCAAGACCCAGAGCCGGCCACCAAGCAGGAGGGGCTCAGCCCACTGTACCCCAAGACCCAGAGCCGGCCACCAAGCAGGAGGGGCTGAGAACCCAGCCCCATGCCATGTGAGGGAGGGTCGCTGGCCTGGGACTCAGGCAGTCGCCCACCCTGGAGCTGAGACCCGAGTCCCCAGCTTCAGCACCTCAGGGTTGTGTCTCCTGACGGCTCAGCAGGTGCTGGCTCAGGGTGGCGGTCACTGCAATGTGGCAGCTGCTTCCGGGCCAGTGCTTGCTGCCCCGTGCCCTTGTCTGAGAGCAGTGCTTGGCACCCAGACAGAGCACGCCCTCCGTGAGGCGGGTGTTCCTTAAACCAGGGGAGCCGTTCCTCATTTCCCTGTATATCCCACAGCCAGCACTGAGGCTCATGACCCCTCCTAGCTGCAAGGGAGCCTGGGACACGGAGTTGTCCGCCAGGCCAGAATCAGAGACTCAGATGCTGTAGAAAACAGAATTGTTAGGCCAGCGCCGTGGCTCGCTAGGCTAATTCTCTGCCTTGCGGCGCCAGCACACCAGGTTCTAGTCCTGGTCGGGGTGCTGGATTCTGTCCCGGTTGCCCCTCTTCCAGGCCAGCTCTCTGCTGTGGCCAGGGAGTGCAGTGGAGGATGGCCCAAGTGCTTGGGCCCTGCACCCCATGGGAGACCAGGATAAGCACCTGGCTCCTGGCTTCGAATCAGCGCGATACGCTGGCTGCAACACGCTGGCCGCAGCGGCCATTGGAGGGTGAACCAACGGCAAAAGGAAGACCTTTCTCTCTGTCTCTCTCTCTCTCTGTCCACTCTGCCTGTCAAAAAAAAAAAAAAAAAAAAAACACCAGAATTGTTCTTGGGTCCTTGATGGGAGACTGAGATCCTGAAACCTCCCTGGACCGTGGAGTGGTAGCCCAGACAGGGGACAGGGCCAGGGAGGAGGTGGGGGAGGGGAGGCACGGAGAGCCGTGCCAAGTTCCCACGCTAGAATTGCTCTTTCCTCCCCTTCAGAAGTCTGGTCCAGAGCGCCCACAGGACTCCCCGCCCAGCCCTGCCGCATCACCTGAGAACACCCCTTGCCCCTCCGACTCCTCCCCCGTGGGCCTGGCCACGGCCGGCATCCCAAAGCGCCTCACAGGTGAGGACATGCGGCCCCTGCCTTCTTCTCCCCACTTGGATTTCTGCACCAGGCGGCTGCCCCATGCCAGTCCCGATCGGACCGTTGTGGTTAAGCGCTCAGCCTTGCCAGCCATAGACTGTGTGGCTTTGGGTTGGCCCCTGGCCTGTCTGAGCTCTGGCTGGGTTCTCTGTCAGACAACACCTGCAGCACCGACGCGTCGGGAGGGGTAAAGGTTGATGTGTGAAGTGCTGAGCGTGGGGCCCAGCCCCGTCAGCGCAGTGCGTGTCGGCCATGACACGCTCAGGGTGGGGCCCGGGGGCCCCAACAGAGCCCTGAAGGTCAGGGGAAGCAGCCACTGGACCCCAGCTCTGTGGCTCTACCCTGGGAGACTAAACACGCCTCCGAACTCCCCCAGGTGTGAGGGGGCTGGGGTGTTCGTGCCAAGTCCCACCCATTGCTGGGTGAGGCCTGATGATACTCTGCCACCTCCAGGGGCCGGAGGTTGCGGACGAGCTCTCTGGGACACACAGAGACAGTGAGGTCGAGGGCCGTCCTGTCTGAGCACGTGGGGTTCGCTCCACTGCAGAGGCAGGGAGGTTAAGTCGCCTGCCCAGGCCCACACAGCCAGGAAGCAGTTGGCCTACAGGACAAGACCTGCATCAGGGCAGCGGCCGCGGGCAGAAGGGGAGGCACTCAGAGCCCTCTCGGGGCCCCGTCGTGGCTGTGCGCTCAGAGCAGACAGAGCAGCGGGCCACACTCAGCCCTTTGCTTTCCCAGCTCGGAAGCAGCTCCCGAAACGGACAATTCAGGATGTCCTGGGAGGACAGGATGAGGACAAGGACCGGGAAGCCAAGAGGAAGAAGAAGGAGGAAGGTGAGACCCCCGGGGAGGAACAGGGTGGGCGGGGGGGCCCAGGCCGCTGCTGCAGGCATCTGAAGGCGTCCACCCGCGGGAGCTGCTGTCGAAGGCACTTTGGAATGCATCTGTGTGGCCACCTTAATTCAGTGTCAACTCAGTTCCCCATTTGTATCTTCTGGTTTTATATTTTTTATGGAGATTGTTTTCTTCTAAATGATTTTTTTCTCAGACTTTTCTTGGCTTGTGGCCCTCCTAGTGTCATCATTTCTCGTGGTGCTCCCTAGGCCACTACCGTAACAGCTCCATATATGAAGTAGTTAGGTCTAAGTAGCTGCTGCATGATACACTCTGCTCAGAGAAAAACCACTGTTTGTGTTTTGTTCTTACGTAATCCTGACTGCTTACTAATGGGGTACAGCTACCATGCTTACCACACATCTGAAGCCATGGAATCCAGTAGGAATGGCCACCCCGTGTCAGTCTCACGTGGATTTTTGCCCAATTCTGAATTTTTATCACAGCAGCCAGTGAAAACCATGCTGTGCAGATGTGTCCCTGCAGGCTGAGTGAGGCCTCAAGTGTGTAGTTCACACGGTATCCAGCAGGGGTCACTGGGTCTCCTTGGAAACTGTCCCACTTCCTGCCAGTCTCCCTGGGCTCTCCTGCACCCAGCTAGGGAGACCTGGGCCTTTGGCTGCTCCCGGCCTCTCAGATCTCAGATGGTACTAGTCACACATTCGCCACTACCGCATGTTTGCTTGTCTGATAAAAAGTCCTCTTCAGAGTTCTGTCCCCAGGGCAGATTTGCATTTGGCCAAGGTGTTTTGTTTTGTTTTTGACAGGCAGAGTGCAGTGAGAGAGAGACAGAAAGAAAGGTCTTCCTTTACCCTTGGTTCGCCCTCCAATGGCCCCTGTGGCCGGCGCATCGCGCTGATCTGAAGCCAGGAGCCAGGTGCTTCTCCTGGTCTCCCATGCGGGTGCAGGGCCCAAGCACTTGGGCCATCCTCCACTGCCCTCCTGGACCACAGCAGAGAGCTGGCCTGGAAGAGGGGCAACCAGGACAGAATCCGGCGTCCTGACTGGGACTAGAACCCGGTGTGCCGGCGCCACAGGCGGAGGATTAGCCTAGTGAGCCGCAGCACCGGCTGGCCAAGGTTTTAATTCCTGTCAGCAGCTTTTAGGAGCAAACATCATTATAAGTTGTATACGGTGTTGGCCATGGTTGGAGGGGAAGGGCCATGGTTGGAGGGCCCCTTTCTAGCAAGGCAAGCTGTCCCCAAGGTAACTCTGCTGGTTTCATTGTTACCCTTAGAGTTTTTCAGTCAGTATCTTAAGACTTAAGCTTTGTCTTTTTTTTTTTTTTTTTTTTTTTTTTTTTAACAAGCAGAGTGGACAGTGAGAGAGAAAGAGAGAGAGAAAGGTCTTCCTTTGCCGTTGGTTCACCCTCCAATGGCCGCCGGGGCCGGCGCGCTGCGGCCGGCGCACCACGCTGATCTGAAGGCAGGAGCCAGGTGCTTCTCCTGGTCTCCTATGCGGGTGCAGGGCCCAAGCACTTGGGCCATCCTCCGCTGCACTCCTGGGCCACAGCAGAGAGCTGGCCTGGAAGAGGGGCAACTGGGACAGAATCCGGCGCCCCGACCGGGACTAGAACCCGGTGTGCCAGCGCCGCAAGGCAGAGGATTAGCCTAGTGAGCCACGGCGCCAGCTTAAGCTTTGTCTTTAATAAGCTGTCAGGTGCATTTTCACATGCTACATTTCACAGAAGACTTGTTAATGGGAAGGGGTCGCTGTCTATTGCTTAGCACACAAGTGGGCATTGGAGTTGGATTCTTCCCGAGGGCCCTGCCTTGCTCAGCCTGACACCCCCGTCACTTGAGAGACAGGCAGCCATCCCTCAGCGTCTGCAGCCCCCAGTGATCCCCAAATCTTCCAGCACTCCAGCCCCTCGATGAAATGGCCTTGCGTCTATGTGTGGCCCGTCCCCTCTAAATCATCTCGGGGTGACTCGTGTCTCATGCCCACAGTGTAGACGCCGTGTCCATGGTGGTTGTACTGTACTGTGTTGTTCATGACAGACACAGCCGATTTCCATCGTGGTTGATTGAATTGTGGGCCTGGGGGCTCACGGACGTTGCTGCCCGCTGTGCTTGGGGCACTAGAAAGTGCATGGGGCTGGTGTCTTTGGGCTGGAAGTGCCCTCAGGAAAATGATTATTTATTTATTTATTTATTTTGCCATCTGACTCTTCTGCCCTCAGAAACAGAGACCCCGAGAGAAAGCCCCACCGAGGCTGAAGTGGCAGAGAAGAAGGACGCAGAGGAGGGGCCCCGGCCTATGACGCCCCCTGAGCCCCCTGAGTCCCCCAGTGAGTTCTGGTCCTCTGCACCTCCTAGCCCCCCACCCTGGGTTGGGTGTCAGGTGCCATCAGAGGACCAGCAGTGTGAGCCCGGTATGGATTCTCCAGTTTGCTGTATACCGTGTACATGCCTGGCAGAGCTGCCCCCATGTTCCCTCTGTAGTGGGGAGTAGAAGCAGTGGGCTTGGGATGGAAGCGGCCGGCCTTACCCTGTGCCCCCTCACTTTAGAAGAGGCCCCGGTGGGAAGCAGCTCAGAGCCCCAGGTGGCCGTGAAGCAGGAGCCACAGGAGGACCAGGCCAAGCCCCCTGCCCGCGCCCCCCGGACACTCAGCAGTTTCTTCAGTGAGTTTCTCTGTGGTCTGCTCTCCTGGTTCTCTACAGAGCACCCCACACCCCCACTTGTCCCTCGTCTCCGTGAGCCTTGCGGCAGTGCTGGGTGAAGATCGGGTGGGAGGCGGGGGGCTCTCAAGAGAAAAGACCTGCTGTTCCCTGGCTTCATTCCCAGCTCCCCGGAAGCCGGCCATCAAAGCAGAAGTGAAGGAAGAAGACCCAGCCATTGTGAGGAAGGAGGAGGCCAGAGGGTGAGTGTGCAGCATGGTGGGTCTGAGAGGCCCCCGGCCCAGCCCCGGTGCTCTGCCTGGAAGGGCCAGCAGCGAGTGCCTTAGCCCTCGTGGGCCCCAGCCAGCCCCAGCCGCAAAGCCCTGCTGAGCACAGGCCAGACAGCCCGCCCAGGAGCAGAGCCTGCTGCCCTCCAGCCTGCAGCCTTGCAGCCTTGGTGCGCAGGGCTGGGGCCCCCCAAGGCTGCCCCGTGTCCTCAGCACGGGCCCCGAGCCCTTCAGCCATCGCCCTGCACACCTCTGGCCCTCTGGCCAGCGGCCACATTTGCTCCGCGTTGAGAGCTGAGCACCTGTCCTGCCTGCTAGTGGGGTTCCGCGTGTCAGATACGTAATTACCTCGTTATGTTCATGCTCTGGCAGGACGCTGTCTGCGTGTGCACAGGACGTCTCTGTCACAGTAACGAGCACAGACCTCGTCCCTGCCCTGTCCTGAACCTGTGGTTGCCAGAGCCAGGGTAGATGGTGGGCTCCTCGGGCCCTCATGAGAGCCCTGCCCCCAGTGGATTCTGGCCTCCCGGCACCTGCAGTCTCTCACTCACCTCTCGGCTGCCTGTTGCTGCACACACTGGCCCCCCAGCACTGGTGCCGACCCAGTGGCCCTCGTGCGCCTGCTGGAGGCGGGGCTCCCCCTCTGAGCAGATGTGCATCCTCAGCACCTGCAGCAACCTCCTCGCATGCCGGGTCACAAGGCCAGGTCCCGCCCCACCAGACCACGGGCCTTCCCAGGGCCGGGTCCAGTTCTCCTTGCCCAGCTCCCAGCACTCGGGCTGGCCTCTCTGGAACCAGGAAATGCACGGTGAAAGAGTGGACTTCATTGAACACTCCCAGATGTTTTTCTGGAAGGACTGGGGTCAGGCAGCAGCTCTCTCTGCGGGAGCCCCAGCAAAGAACAAATCCCAGAAAACCCTGCTCTGCAGTTCACCATGGGACAGGGGAGGCAGCGTGCAGAATGCACCGTGCGTCACGTCCTCGCCGAGAGCTGTGGGGGAGCCGGGGGCAGTAGGGGCGACAGTCAAGTAAAAGACCTGAGGGTGGATGGGGTGCCCAGGGGAGTGTCCCCCACCAGACAGACAGCGCTGCAGAGGGGCGGCGGGGAGCGCGCAGAGGGAGCAGGAGGTGACTCTCAGAGGTGACAGGGATGCGGGTTCCTGCCCTAGCCCTGGTGCAGCCTGGCACATGGTAGGTGCTCAGGGGATACTGGTGGAGAGCTGGCTTCTCTCCGACCCAGAGGTACCCTATCTATTCTGCCTCCACAGAGCCCTGGACCCAGTGAGCTATAACCCTGCCAAGAGCAACTACCACCCTGTGGAAGACGCCTGCTGGAAACCCGGCCAGAAGTGAGGCCTCTCCCTCCCCCGGCACCCAGCCCAGTCCCCGTCCCCCTGGGAGGCCTCACTTGGAGGAGCCGGGCCGTGTGCCGGGCCGCTTCAAGGCAGGTGGCTGGCCCCAGGGCGGGTGGCAGGACCACGTGAGTGATACACAGGGCTCTTGCATCTCTCTGCCTTCCCAGGGTCCCTTATCTGGCCGTGGCCCGGACGTTTGAGAAGATCGAGGAGGTCTCTGCTCGGTAATAAACCAGGGCCGGAGGGTGGGGCTCCCCCAGTTGTCCCCCCAGTTGTCCCTGCACCTCCGTGCCCCACGTGGCTGTCCACTGCCCCATCCCCTCAGGTCATGGGTACAGGGCTGCCTGCGGGTCCTCTCAGGGCCCGGACTCGGAAGTCCACAGCCTCATTTCTGCCTGGCTCTGTTGTCGAGAGCAGACAGAAGGGCGACCCCAGATTCAGGGTAGGGTACAAGCTCCCTGTCAGCATGATGGGAGCTACAGAAGGTGGCAGCGCTGGGTCAGCGCAAGCGGCTGAGCCTTCCTTACCGTCTCAGTGCTGGGAAAACTGACCTCAGCCTCAGCCGGGACCTCTTCTCGGGGTGCTCCTGCGGCCCCACGCCCAGGGCTGCCCGCACTCCGGTCCTTCTCATGTCCATGTTGCTGGTCCGTGAGCAGGGGTGTTAGCGAATGTGAGCTTGACGGGCACGGTTCAGTCTGCTTCCTGCTCTGCTCCCGGCTTGCTGTAAGTCTCCATGGCCCGACTGCCCCGGGTGTCCCTTCAGCTTGTCTGCCACACGGCACTCTCCAGGGGCCTACAGGAGGGGGCCATTGCAGGCTTCTCCTGATGCCATGTTCTTGTGTTTTTAAGATGTATTTGTGTGAAAGAGCTGAGGAGGGAGAGCCCTCCTTAAATGGTCACATCTGCCAGGGCTAAGCCAGGAGCCGGGGACTCCATCTTTCTCTCGCATGTGGGTGGCAGGGACATAAGCACTTGGGGCATCGTCAGCTGCCTTCCCAGGCATTTTAGCAGGGAGCTGGATCAGAAGCAGAGCAGCCAAGACTCAAACGGACTCCCATGTCGGATTCCAGTGTCGCAAGTAACAGCTTAACCCACTGCCCCGCAGCGCTGGCCCCAGAGCAGTTGGTTCTTATCAGCGTGTCCCCTTGCGAACATTTGAGAAATTTCCCCTGTTGGCGTAAGCCCCACCGGGAGGAGTCGCAACATTCTCGGACAGTGTGGCAAGGCCTCAGGTGCCTGTTGAGGGGCTCCGAGTCCAGGCCATGACAGCAGCAAGTGAGAGCCCAGTCCGGGGCACAGGCAGGCCTGGGAGTGGCCGGCTCTGCTGCTTCCTGGCTGCAGGTGGCCTGCCTGTCTGCCACAGTTTCTCCATGAGTAAAGGGACGTCATGTCTCAGATTGGCCCTGGGAACTATGAACATAATACAGGAGAAACTCAGAAACCACCCAGTGCAGGAGACCTGCAAGCAACTGCCCTGATAACTCCCAACCCAAAACGGGAGGAGTTACCATATTTTCAGAACTTTGTAGAAGTAGTTTTAGACTTAGCAGAAAGCTACAGTTGTGGTGCAGAAAGTCCCCGTGTACCCTAAGCAGCTCTGTCTGTGCTGAAGTCCTGCTTCAGCGTGGGGCGGGGGTCCCGACAGCACCTTTAGGTACACCAACAGGTGACGCGCTGAACTTTGCTATTTGCCCACTTCTGTTCTCTGTTCTAGTCCAGGGCCTGGCCAGAGTCCCTGGCCGGCCTGCCAGCTCAGGGCGCTCATGTTTCCTTGCTGAAGGGCTACTGTGCCGCCGCCCGTCTGGTTCCTGGCCACAGGCTCGGCTGGCCCTGGTGACTGCCCTGCAGTCACGTCTTCACTCCCCAGTCAGCAGGCGCCTCGTGGGTGTCTGCTTTGAGACCAGGTGCAGCGCTTGTGTCTCTAGACCTTGGCCCAGTGTTGGCATCTGTGCACAGTCGAGAGCTGCAGAAGGTCGGGGCCTCAGCACAGCTCACCCTCCCTTGGTGCCGGAAGCAGCAGCAGGGCCAGGCCCCGCTTCTTGCTCCTGGTGACGGCCGCTGCCCTTGGCGTTTCTCAGCCCGTGGACGCCTCGCCCTCATGTCGCCTCCGTCTATGTCCTTTTCTGTCTTACAAGAGCACGTGTTGGGTTTAGGCCCCAGCCTTCTCCTGTGAGCTCATCTGGAGCCCTGGTCACAAAGACCCAACTTCACCTCCTGAGGCTCTGCGGGGCCCAGGGGGTGAGGCCACTCCTCCACCCACCACACTCCCAGAGGCTGTCTTGCCCGCTGCAGGTGTCTGTGGGATGGTGACTTAGGGGCTCCCCTGCTTCCGCCTTTGTTAACAGCTTCCGCTCTGAGAAAAACAGCTGCTGTGTGCCAGGCCCTGCGCTTGCCATGACGGCCCGCTCCTCCAGCGTGTGTGCGGCCTCGGATGCACTCCTAAAGCGAGCAGCACGGCTCAGGGCGCAGCTGGGCACCTCCAGCAGGCAGCCACCTAGGTTCCTGGCTCAGTCCTGGCTCTGTGACCCGGGCCACTCACTGCCTCTCATGTGTCAGGGGGGTAACGTAGGCCCAGAGCTGAAATGTGCCGATGCTTGAAACAAGTCTGCTTGGCGCCGCAGCCGCTGACCTCCCCCACCCACGGGCCGTGGCAGTGCCCCTCCTCCCCCTGCCCCACCCCCACCTTGATCTTGAGCCAGGTGGTCACAGCCCGACCCCTCTGCAGGCTCCGGATGGTGGAGACGCTGAGCAACTTTCTGCGCTCTGTGGTAGCCCTGTCGCCACCAGACCTCCTCCCCATCCTCTACCTCAGCCTCAACCGCCTAGGGCCGCCCCAGCAGGGCCTGGAGCTCGGTGTTGGGGACGGCGTCCTCCTCAAGGCGGTGGCCCAGGCCACAGGTGAGGGGGCCGTGTTGAAGGGGAGCTTGGGGTGCGGGAGAGATGATGGGCGGATTCTGGAGGGTGAGCGAGGGAGAGGCGGCGGCTGAGGGACCCTGGGGGAGGACACAGTGGGCAGCAGTGCAGGTGAGGGAGGGCCAGGCCGGGGAAAGGTGGAGGTGGCAGGAGGCGGGGTCTGGAGTGAGGACCGAGGCAGGGTATCAGGGTAGCAGACGGCCTGGGAGCACCTGGAGGAGCCGAGCAGGGGAGGGAATGAGGGGCCGTGCAGGCGCAGGGTTACCAGGGCTGGGCACAAGACTGGGAGTGGGGCCGTCCGGGGCCTTGAGTGCTCTGCATCTATCATGCAGGCCTCTGGGAGCCCCAGAAGGATCGTGGGCAGGTGAGAGGTGTCTCTGGTTGCGTTTGCAGGTGAAAGGAGACAGAGGTCAGGGGGCAGGGAGCTGGGGCGAGGGCTGTGGGGAAGAGCAAAGGGGAAGGGTAGGAGACTACATCAGGGCCCCAGCAAGGGAGACCCAGCCACAGCTGTCAACCCCCCCTCCCCCCAGGTCGGCAGCTGGACATTGTCCGGGCTGAAGCGGCCGAGTCGGGTGACGTGGGGCTGGTGGCGGAGTACAGCCGCGTCACCCAGAGGTTCATGCTGCCACCGCCCCCTCTCACCGCCTCCGGGGTCTTCGCCAAGTTTCGGGACATCGCCCGGCTCACTGGCAGCGCTGTGAGTGGGGCAGGGCCCTCACCTCGGGCACCTGAGGTCATGGGTGTGGCAGGAAGGCTCTGGTTAGACCTGCGGGGGCTGGGGCTCCTCAGTGTGGGAGGGGAGCAGAGCCGACCCCTCCTTCCTACAGACTCTCAGTCTTTGCCGGGTAAAGAGTGGGAGGGAAGTAGGAGAGCCAGAGGCATGCCATCAGTGAGGGTAGTGTTGGGGGGGGCTGGGCCCTGACGGCCCCTCCCCCACCTCCTCAGTCCATGACCAAGAAGATGGACATCATCAAAGGCCTCTTTGTTGCTTGCCGACACTCAGAAGCCCGATTCATCGCCAGGTGACTGTGGGGTCTGCGAGGTTGGGGAGAGGGGACTTCTAAAGTGGCTGGAGGTACTGCTGAGGCCGACTGCCCCTGTATGAGAAAAGCTTGGTCGTTTCCCATTCTCCCCCTTGGTGGTGCCACCTGGAGATGGTCCTGCAGCTCAAGGGTAAAGGGTGCTGTGATTGATTAGTGATGTCTGCCTTGGCCAGAGAGCCGCAGCAGTGCAGCACAGAGCCACTTGTGCTGTGTTGACCATGCGTGTCTTGGGAACAATTCTTGAGTGCTCTGCCCTATGTCAGTTACCCCCCATAGCTCTGCAAGGAGGGGCCTGTTGTCCTTACCCCAGCTGACAGCAGGGAGCTGGAAGGTTAAGCCCACTCCCCGAGGTCACTGGCTTGGAGCAAGGCCTGTGCCTGGGTCAGGTGTTAACCATCACGGGCGGGGGTCGGGTTGGGGGTGGGCTGTGTTCAGTCTGGCCCCTCTCTGGGCAGCTGAGATGAGAAGTGTAGGTTCCTGTGAGGCACCCACTCCCGCCCTGCACTACAGGCCAATGGTCGTGGTCAGCATTGGGCACCCACTCCCGCCATGCACTACAAGCCAGTGGTCGTGGTCAGCATTGGGCAGCCTCCCTCACCTGTTAGACGAGGCCATATGACCTCTTGGGTCCCTTCCTGGCTCTGCAGGTTGCTGTGGGTTTTGAGGACAGGGTCTATAGAGACCTGTAGGAGGAGGTGGGAGCAAGTGTGGAGGCGGAGGAGGTACCAACAGGCCCACCTCTGGCCTGCTCTCTTCCCCAGGGCCCTGAGGGGGCGGCTGCGCCTCGGGCTGGCAGAGCAGTCGGTGCTGACGGCCCTCACCCAGGCTGTGAGCCTCACACCCCCTGGCCAAGGTGAGCTCTTGCAGTCTCGGGGCTGCTCTGTGCTGATGCTCCCCTCCCCCCCCCAGGAGCCACACCCCCCCTTCCCAGCCCGGCTTCCACCACTGGGCTCCTCTGCCTGGAAAGCTGAGCAGCAGCATAAGTGTTCTTTGCCCGGTGACAACCCCCTGACCGCAGCCCCCGGGTGGCTGAGGGCTCCGTCGTCCCCAAGTCCCTGGTGCCTGTCTCCTAGCATTCCCCCCCGCCGTGGTGGACGCTGGGAAGGGCAAGACGGCAGAGGCCAGGAAGACGTGGCTGGAGGAGCAGGGCATGGTGCTGAAGCAGACGTTCTGGTGAGGGCCCGGCGGGGGGGACGTGGGAGGGCGCTGCAGGTGGCCGGGGGTGGCAAGCGAGACAAGGCGGGTGCAGGGACGGCTCGGGGAGGAGGCAGAGCCAGGAGGCGCTGGCAGCATGCGGAAGCGGGAGCAGCAGGATCCAGGTTGGGCTGCAGTCAAGAAAGTGCAGGAGACGGTCACGCGAGGACACCGTGAGAGGGTGAGGTCAGAACCAGGAGCCCCAGGAGCAGCTTCTGCAGAGCTCCTGAGCAGGGCCGCTGCTTGCTCCGCCTCCTGGGCTCCACCCACCTTGGGTTGCAGGCCTGGCTCAGTGCGGTTCAGTTCATCGCTGCAGGGGAAGCCTGGCCGGGGGACAATATGTCCTTGCGTAGCCAAGTAAAGAACCTGGGCCTCAGTGGCGGTGACGTGGAGGGGGCAGAGGCTGTCATGGGCGGCCAGGCTCTGAGCACAGGCCGTGCACGTTCTGAAAGGACTGCCCCCACCCCGCAGCGAGGTGCCCGACCTGGACCGGATCATCCCAGTGCTGCTGGAGCACGGGCTGGAGCGGCTCCCGGAACACTGCAAGCTGAGCCCAGGTGCCAGCCCCAGGCCCTCGCTTCCCCAGCTGAATCCTCTCCCAGCGCCCAACGCCTTTTCTCCAAGCGTTCCGAGCTGCTGTGGAGAAGATGGCCGTGCGTCAGGCCAGGCGGGAGCGCTCTCATGCACATCAGCGTCCAGAGCAAACCCGGCAAGGGAGGGCGGGCGGCTGTGTTCCAGACTCAAGTCCCTTGTGTCTCTGTCTGCCACCCCAGAGTCTTCCCCCAAACGTGTGTGAGCACGTTCCCGTTCAGGATGTAGAAAGGGAGGGGGAGTGCCCAGGTTCTAGGAAAAGCAGCGGCCCCACCCTGACTCAGCCTGCAGCTGGGGGGTGTGGTCCCCAGAGCCACTCTGAAACCTGGGAGGGGCCATTTGCTCTTAAGTGCCCAGGAAGGGGAGGGGTCCTGGGCACATCCATAGCCCCCCACCCCTTGCCATGTTCCCTCAACCCTCAGCCTTCCTAACACCCTCCCTCTCTCCTCCCAAGGCACCCCCTTGAGGCCAATGCTGGCCCACCCCACCCGGGGCGTCAGCGAGGTCCTGAAGCGCTTTGAGGAGGCAGCTTTCACCTGCGAGTACAAGTACGACGGGCAGAGGGCACAGGTATGGGGGGCACGGCCCTTCCCAGGAGGAGAACGCCGGGAGCAGGGCGGGGTCCCGACCCCAGCTCCAGGCCGGCCTCTGCCGCAAGCTGCCCTGCGCCCCTCGCCTGTCTCCATGGGCTGTGGTGTACAATGATGCATGCAGTGAGCACACTGATGGCCCCTTGCCAGCTTATCTGATGGTGAAGTCGTCAGTGTTCCTGACGTGGTAGCTTAAGGCACGTTGGCTCCATTGCTGCCTGCCGTAAGATGGCAGTGAAATGAAACAGGCCGTGCATCGGGCACTCCAGGACTGTGAGCAGACTGTTGAGCTCCCAGTAGGAACCAGAAGGACTGAGTCTGTCAGCAGTTACACTCGAGCAGGGCTGCGTGCTGCGGGGAGGGCCGCAGGGGTCGGAGGTGCCGAGGGGAAGGGCAGCAGGAGGCACAGGTGCACCCAAGGAGGGGCGTGCTGGGGCTGTGGGCCACTTCCTCCTCCAGAGCCTCCTGCCGGCGAGGGTGGAGTTGGAGAGAAGGAGGGGCGGGGGGTGGCCGGCTCTGATCTCGCCTTGCGTCCGCACCGCAGATCCATGCTCTGGAAGGCGGGGAGGTGAAGATCTTCAGCAGGAACCAGGAGGACAACACTGGGAAGTACCCTGACATCATCAGCCGCATCCCCAAGGTGGGCCCGCCATGTGCTGCAGCTGCGGTTCGACGGCTGTGGGCAGTGAGCGTATTAGTTTCCTGCGAAGACAGAAATGCGAAGCAGAGATGAGTAGCCTGCACAGACAGGGACAGGACTTGGTGTTTGACACGAGGGAACAGACATACATTCACACGGAGGAACTCCATGTGCCGCAGGGCTGTCTGTGAGAGCAAAGCAGTACCTGGAAGTCTGGGCCCTGGCAGGAAGAGGCCTCTCCCCACTCTGCCCCTTTTGTGAGGTAGGGGTTGGTACCACAGTCAGCTACACATGCAGAGTGGGGTCTCCAATGAGACAGGTGCACCCTGGGAAGGGGGGCGTATTGAGCTGACAGTTACAGAGAGGGGTCCATCATGGGGCTGTAAGAATTCCAGCTTGCCTGCACTTTGACTGCCTAGATAGACCACATCGACGGCTGCGGAAGGCTGAGGCCCGCTCAGGCCAGCACGGGTTGGGGTGGGGGTCAGAGGTGGCAGCGCGTGACTTCCACAGGTGGTGTTCTTTCTCCAGTCGAGGGCAGGCCGTCCCGAGCTGACTCCTCGCACACAGCCATCCTCCCAGCCCAGCTCATTCCAGCCTCTGCCTCCACTGCCCCCAGCTGCTTGGTTTTCATTCCCAACACCTGTGCCCGTACAGTCCGTAAAGAGCTGTCACATCTCCAGAGAGGGAGGGGTCCCAGCATCCTTCCTGTCCCCTGCCTGTGTGTTGGTCAGCTCTGTTACCCAAGGCAAGCTGCTTCAGGAGAGAGGTTTACCTGGCTCGGCTGGGAGGTTCACAGCCCCCATTGGTTCTGCCGAGTGCTGCGGCTCGGTGGCTGGCGCAGTGCCGTGGAGGAAGGTTCTCACGGCAAGGCAGGAGACAGGCCCTGCTGCCAGCCTTTTATCCCCAACCTCACGAGAACCACATCTGGGGTGGCCTGTGTGGACTGAGGACCTCCCCCTAGGCCCGCCTCCCTCCCCGACACGATACTTGGGTCAAGTTTCCACCCTCTTAGTGCCATCAGCCTGCCACTTTGGAGTGTGAGTGTGTGGGCGCCAAGTCCCATTCAGAGCATGGCAGCCGCTCCAACTGACTCCAGCTTGGCCCCGAGAGCCAGAAAACTGCGATTCCAACTGCAGCTTCTCAGCAGGGAAGGCGGGACGGGGGCGGGACAGGCATGGAGGAGGCCAGCCTGCAGGCCTCGGCCCAAAGCTTTGAGCCCAGAGTCGCCATGGTGCTGGGCGGGGCCCATTCCAGAAGCCTACAGCGCAGGCCTTCTCCTTGACTGTCCCCTTCAGTTAGGAAACCAGTGTGGGCGGGGAAGGAGGCAGACACGGCACAGCACCTGCGCCAGGGCGCAGTGTCCATGAAAGGCTATGATTCCAGGTGTGCGGGGTACAGTAGGTTTTTTGGTGTTGTGTTTTTTTTTTTTTTTTTTTTTTTTTTTTTTTTTTTTTTTTTAAGATTTACTTATTTGAGAGGCAGAATGAGAAAGAGAGAGAGGTCTCCATTCGCTGGTTCACTCCCCAGATGGCCACAACAGCTGGAGCTGGGCCAATCTGAAGCCAGGAGCTTCCTCCGGGTCTCCCACATGGATTTGGGCCATCTTCTGCTTTTCCAGGCCATAGCAGAGTGCTAGATTGGAAGTGGAGCTGCCAGGACTCAAACTGGCACCCATATGGGATGCTGGCATTGCCAGCAGCTTTATCTGCTACGCACAGCACCAGCCCCAGTACAGTAGGTTGTAACAGGGCCGAGCTGCACACAGCCGGTGCCGCAGTCCACTTAGAGAATGTTCCCGTGCTCTTCACCGCAGAGCGTTTCCCTGTGCCCCTGACTGAGCGAGCCCGTCCTCTGACACCCCCACCTCCCCCATTGCTGTGTTGGTCGGCAGAGCCGGCCTGCGTGTTCTAGATTCCTGTGGGTGACGTCACACGGCTCCTCGCCTTCTGGTTCTGGCTGCTTTGGCTCATCCGCTGCATGCGGGTTTCTTGGGGTCCTGCGCTGGAGGCAGGGGGTATAACCCAGGCTTGCCGGGATCGCCACCCTTGCCACGCTCACACCGGGGCCGTGCTGTTGGCTCTGAAGGGGAGGAGTGACATTCTGCCGGCCTGCCCTGGTGTCCGGAAGCCAGGCCCTCGTGCTGCACGGCACCCGGGAGCTGGGGGCAGCATGCTGGAGGGGGCAGGCATCTTGGAGGGGGTGAGGGGGTGTCTGCTGGAGAAACAGAGTGTAGCTGAGGGGCCCAGGGAAGGACCAGGGGCTAACAAGGAGAGCACAGCTGTAGGGAGTCGTAGCAGGGCCGTGCCTTGGTCCCACCTTGGTTGGAGGGGTCAGTGGGAGCTGGGAGACCTGTGGGCTGGGTGCAGTGAGGTGCTGGGAAGCAGGCGCCTTGGACAGACTCCACAAGTTCCCTGGGAATCATGTGGGGGAGATGGAGACGGCGATGACCAGGGCCTCTGGGTTTCCAGCTCACAGGGCCACAGTGAGTCCTTGTCGGGGTTCAGTTCTCTCCCTCGCAGTGGAGACAGACGACAGCCGTGTCCTGGTGTCTGAAGCTGACCCTACGGAAGGAGCGGGGGGTCTGGCCTGACGCACCTCCCAGCTGTCGCAAGCCCCCGCCTCTCCCTTCCCTTTCCAGATTAAGCTCCCGTCAGTCACATCCTTCATCCTGGACACCGAGGCCGTGGCCTGGGATCGGGAGAAGAAGCAGATCCAGCCATTCCAGGTGCTCACCACCCGCAAACGCAAGGTACCGTCAGCTGTGCCGTCACCTCCCATGGTGCCACACTCCTCCACCCTCCTCCCCATGCCATTCTCTCCACTTTTGCAAAAAATCACTGCCACTGCCCTAGCCATCACATTCCCACCCCGACATCTCGGTTTGGGAAGGGGACAGGCCCATCTGCACCCTGCCATTTAACTGTGAAGGAAGGGGCGTTCCCAGAGCCCCCACAGCGTGCACTGTGGCAAACTTCCTCTCACTTCCTATCGGCCACAGTGTGTCACGTCCCCACTGCTAGCTGCAGGGGTGCTGGGAACCAACGCCTGGTGCGGGGGATGAGCTCTGGGGGATTAGCGGAGTCCCCATGCGTCAGGGCCTGAGCTGTTAGCTGGGGAGGAGGGCGCAGTGCAAGGGACCGCGGCAGCCTCGGGCACCATGGGCGCGGCCCACCCGGTCCTGTCTCTGCCTCTCCTCTCCTGATGTCCTCTCTGCCCTCCTCAGGATGTAGACCCATCGGAGATCCAGGTGCAGGTGTGTCTGTACGCCTTCGACCTCATCTACCTCAACGGACAGGTGAGTCCTGGGTGGCCAAGCTTGGGCCTGCCTTGTCACAGTCGAGGCCACGCTCGGGCAATGGTTCTCTGTGGGGCCCTTCCGAGGGGCCTGCGAGTCCCTCCCCTCCCCACCCCTCCCTGGCGGCAGATTGCCGGATTGTCCACAACAGGCAGGAACACCCAGCCTCCAGTAGAGCCCCGCCTTTTGACATAGGCGTGTTTTCTTGGACGCCTCACTTAAGTTCTGATAGGACAAACTTCATGGAGAGTCCCCTGTGGTGTCGAGCGCCTGGTCTGGCAGAGGTGAGCCCGCCCTCCTCGCGCTGGGCGAGGGAGCCTGAGCGAGGAGACGCCGTCCCTCTTCCTCCTCTCTGATGCTGCACAAGGCAGAGGCTCAAGCCGTGCCCAGGTTTGAGTGTAGTCAGGCGGGTTTGCAGGGCAGGCGCCACCAACGCTAATGAAGCCATCACGAGTGATTCCTAAAGATCAACTTTTACTTACTTGAAAGGCAGAGGGAGAGAGAAAGAGATCTTTCATCTGCTGGTTCACTCCCCACATGGCTGCAATGGCCCCAGGCCTCTGCCAGGCCAGACCCAGGAGACTGAAGCTCCTCCGGGCCTCCCACGTGGGTGACAGGAACCCAGTACTTGGCCGTCCTCTGCTGTTCTCCCAGGTGCATGAGCAGGGAGCTGCATCAGAAGCAGAGCAGCAAGACTGAGCCCGGGGCTCTGATAAAGGATGCCAGCCTCATAAGTGGAGGCTTACCCCGCCGCACCACAGCGCTGGCCTCAGGCCTCACCCGTTTGCTTCCACGTCACCCATGCCTGCCTTTGCCCCATGTCAGAGAAGCTGCACAGCTGTGACCAGAGAGCTGAGAACATGCCAGCACCCGGCTCTGGGTCCAACCAAGAGCAGACGGAAACAGCAGCAAGATGGTGTCTGTCCTAAACACTCACAGGCTTTGTCTGTCCGTGTCCCTGAGCAGCACGCGTGACAGCCATGTGCATACTGGCACAGGTGGCCTAGCGGCGCTCTAAGTACAGAGAATGTGGGGGGTTGCGGGCAGATAGTGCGCTGTTTTACGGTAAGGACCGGAGCTCCCTGGGTATCTGAGGGCTTCGGTATCTGAGGAGCCCTGGGCCAGTCCCCATGGGCAGAGAGGCAGCTGTGTTGATGCCGGGGTTCGTAGCCCCTGGGTAGCAGGATTTCCTCCCCGGGCTTCTCTGTTAACCTTACGGTCACTCACGCCTTCTTTGCCTTTATTGGGCTGGTGTTAGAAACAGGAGAGGCTTAGAAGTGTTCGTGGGAATGTCACGTGGGCTGGGGCTCCTCCCGCCTGACGCCCTGAGGCCCGAGGCCCTGTGCTTAGGATTCCCAGGATCCTCCCGTCAGCCCGGAGCCTCTCACGGCTTTCCTAAACCCTGTCGCTTCCTGTGACCTGTACACGTCCTGTGGGTCTGGAGTCAGGGCCGCCGGGTCTGCCCACACCGCAATGCCCGCCCTCTCGCCCTCTCTCCCCAGTCCTTGGTGCGCGAGCCCCTGTCCCGCCGCCGGCAGCTGCTCCGCGAGAACTTCGTGGAGACAGAGGGCGAGTTTCTGTTCGCCACCTCCCTGGACACCAAGGACCTCGAGCAGATCGCCGAGTTCCTGGAGCAGTCGGTGAAAGGTGAGGGCCCCTGTGCTTCTCCCCACCGAGGTTTGCAGCCTCTCGTGACCCGCGCTGGCCCCAGGCCCCAGCGCCAGCCGTGGAAAATCACTGGAGTCCCTGCCCGGGCCTGGGCAGGGAGCTCCCAGGGACCCTGCCTGTGTCTCCTCCAGACTCCTGCGAGGGGCTGATGGTGAAGACCCTGGACGTGGACGCCACCTACGAGATCGCCAAGAGATCGCACAACTGGCTCAAGGTAATCCCGCCCACCCGGCCTTCCCCGCCAGCCTGTCCTGAGGGGCCGTGGGTGTTGGGGCTGGCACCGCCCCGTCCAACTCTGGAGCCTCCCCACACCCCACCCAGCCCCACACTGCTGCCCTGCAAGTCCCGTGTGTGAGCTCAGCAAGAGGTGGTGGCAGGCCCTGCCCCCACCACGCTCCGCGAATGCAGGCAGTCTCGGGAGGGCTCTGCTCCAGCTTCCTCCACGCAGGAGAGTGCAGGGCAGTGCTGGCCTGGGTGGGGCTGGGCCGGAACCAGGGCTGTGAGCAGTGCACTTAGCACCGGCTGCTGGGGGCCAGGGAACGCTTCCAGAGGCCGTGTGTGAGTCAAGTCCCCAAGTACAGGAAGGGTCGACCACGGGGGGGTCGGAGGGGACTGCAAGTGCAGAGGCCTTGAGGGGGCCGGGCTCAGTGGCAGGCGAGTGAGGTCAGAATGGCCAGCAGCACCTGGGACCACCGCCCTGAGATGAAACTGCCAGTGAGACTTCGAGCCGGGGTGGCCCGTGGTCTGACTGCATGGCTCCTCTGCTGCCCCGTGGCTCAGGACAGGCACAGCAGGGGCTGGGCAGAAGTGGAGACACTGGTGTGAGGAGTGGGAGGCTCGAGTGGAGAGAGGGGCCAAGGGAACCAGGTCATCCCGTGTGTGTCACTCGCCCCTGGCCTAGGCATTACTGTTGTACTCTGAAGGCTAAGTTGCCTGGCATACAGTTGGTACTTAATAAATGACGTGACTGGAGACTCATGTTCTCTGTGTAAGGGAGTGCGTGGAGGGAACCACTTGTCCCCAGGCTGAAGGACAGCGGCACCAAGGGGGCTCCACATCCCCGCCCAGCCCTCTCCTCCCACTTGCCTCTCCTGGAGCCTGGAAGCCCTTTCCTCACACGGCCTCTTAACAATGCATCTTCGTCCTCAGAGTCCCTGTGAGGAGGCCTGGCCCGGGGCCCTGTAGCCACAGCACTGAGGTCTGTGCCCAGCACCCCCACCGCTCTTTCCTTCCCTCCCCGCAGCTGAAGAAGGACTACCTGGACGGCGTGGGCGACACCCTGGACCTCGTGGTGATTGGCGCCTACCTGGGCCGGGGGAAGCGTGCCGGCCGCTACGGGGGCTTTCTGCTGGCCTGCTACGACGAAGACACCGAGGGACTGCAGGCCATCTGCAAGGTCTGGGCGCCGGGCCGACCCCGGTGGGGGCTTCCTGTGGCGCCTCAGGAGGGCCCAGGTCCATAGACAGACAGCCCTCCCAGTGAGGAAGGATCCGACTGCAGCAGGGCTACTGTGGACGTCGGGAACCGCGTCCGGCTGCCTGGTGCTCGCTTAGCCTAGAGAGGACTGTCCCTTCTCTGTGACAGGAAGTCTGGCGGCAGCGGCCCCTGCAGGGCCTCTTCTCTCCCCACAGTTGTCTTTCTGATGGGCTCTGGTCTCGTCGTCGCAGTGTAGCTGCAAGTGTGCCGGCCATCAGGGCCTTGCATGCTGCAGACACCAGAAGAGAGGACCCAGGCGGCAGCACTGCGGGGCAGGGGTGGAGCTGCCGTTTGGGAGGCTGACATTCTGTAGCGCAGTGCCTGGGCTTGATTCTCCACACTGCTTCTTCCACAGCTCCCTGCTAGTGGGCACCCTGGCAAGCAGCAGGTGATGGCCCAAGTAATGGGGTCCCTGCCACCCACATGGGAGACCTCGAGAAAGCTCCTGACTTCAGCCTGACCCAGCCCCAGCGATGGCAGGCATTTAGGGGTGAACTAGTGGGTGGGAGAATGAGTCTCTCTCTCTCTCTCTCTCTCTCTCTCTCTTTCACACACACACACACACACACACTGCACTTCAGATGAGTAAATAATAAAGAACAATGCACAGGGCCAAGGCCTGTGCCTCCTGGAATTTCCCTCCATGGCTGGTCCCTGTCTGCAGGGGCCACTGAGAAAGTCAGGCCTTTATGGCTGTGCAGTGTGACCGGGTCTCCCTCACCCAGCAGACTGAGTGAGAAACAGCACCAGTAACTCCACAGAGGCAGTTTGCTTTCTTTCTTTTTATTTATTTTTGTAAAGATTTATTTATTTGAAAGGCAGAGTTACAGAGAGGCAGAGGCAAAGAGAGAGGTCTTCCATCCGCTGGTTCACTCCCCAGATGGCCACAATGGCCAGAGCTGCGCCTATCTGAAGCCAGGAGCCAAGAGTTTCCTTTGGGTCTCCCACACGGGTACAGGGGCTCAAGGACCTGGGCCATCTTCTGCTTCTTTCCCAGGCCACAGCAGAGAGCTGGATCGGAAATGGAGCAGCCAGGATTTTAACAATGCCCATATCGGATGCAGGCACTGCAGGCGGCGGCTTTACCCACTGCGCCACAGCGCCACACATTTTAAAAATCTATTTATGTTGCAAGACAGTGACATCTCCCATCCCCTGGTTCACGCCCCGCAAAGGTCAGCAACAGCCAGGACTGGGCCAGGCCAAAGCTGGGAGCCCGGGACTCCAGCTGGGTCTCCCACGTGGGTGGCAGGGACCCAAGCAAATGAGCCGCCCCTGCTGCCTCCCAGGGCACACACTAGCAGGAGACTGGACTCGGAGTGGAGTCGGGACTGAAGCCCAGGCTCCCCAGCGTGCCCTCCCCAGTACTTTATTCTGTGAAGCTTGGGGTGTGACGTGGAGCCTACGACAGCGCTCTGAGGTGCAGCCGCGCCGAGTTCCTGAACCAGTTCTCTGCACTTGATTTCAGCCACTTGTCCTTAAGAACGACGTCCTCACTGCACTGGGTTAGCCTGTGTGGTCTGTGACACAGGTGCCTTTGCAGTCCAGCAGTGTCAGTCTGTCGCCACCCAGCAGTGCTGGGATAGAGCTCCATTTGTCCGACGGGCAGAGATGCCGTTTGCTGGCCCACTCCCCAAACACTTGGCGACGGCCAGGACTGGACCGGGCAGGGCCAGGAGCCAGGAGCCAGGAGCTCGGAGCTCGGTCATGGCCTCCCATGGCAGGGATCCAGTTGCCTCAGCCATCACCTGCCTCACAGGGTGTGTGTTGGTAGGAAGCTGGATCCATAGCAGAATGAGGATTTGAACCCAGGCCCTGCGGTGTGGGTGCACGTGTCCCCCGCAGGGCCTTGACTGCTGCACCAAAAGGCCTCCGCTAGTAGTATCATCGGCACAAAAGGCGAAAAGGTGGCTGAGGTTCTCAGTACCAGAGACCCAGTACCAGTACCACTGTGCACAGTGGGTGAGCAGCGCCTCGCTGTGATGCCTCACGCCTGCTGCTCGGGCGGGGCGGGAAACCTCGGGGTTAGGATTGGAGATGATGGTGAGCTCAGGGGGTGACCTCCCAGACAGGACCAGAGCCAGAGGATGGGGTCCCCACACCGCACCCCCATTCTGTGGGTGTCCTCTGACCCGCGTCTTCCCTGCAGCTGGGGACCGGCTTCAGCGACGAGGAGCTGGAGGAGCAGCACCAGAGCCTCCAGGTGAGCTGCGTGGCCTCTCAGCCTCCGCCGTCGGAGGGTTCAGGGTGCGGGCAGGAGGGCGGCGGGGTCAGGCCCCAGCTCTGCCGGCTGCTGGTCACAGGACCGTCTCCGGCCCGGAGCCTCGGTCACACCGGGGCTGCAGGGCATCTCCCTGCTCAGGGCCTTGTCACACTGGAGCCACAGGGCCGTCACCCCACCCAGAGCCTCGGTCACACTGGGGCTTGCCGAGCGCCATTCAGGTGTTCCCGGGTTGTGCCCGTGGAACACTTAGAGAGCCCCGGGTGAGAGGGGCGCTGGGGAATGCGAGCCCTGGGTGTGGTGTCTGGATCGCGGTTCTGCCTCCGTCCGTGCTATCCTCCCTTTCTGTTCCCTCCTCTCTCTGGGCCTTGGCTCCCTCCCTACCCCTCCAGCTCTGGGTCCCTCTTCTTCTGGGTCTCCGTTCCCATCCCTTTGCCTCTGTAGTGTCCCGTCTCCGCTGCATTCCATTTCTTTCCTTTTCCTGCTTCCCTTACTACCCCTCTCAGCCTGCCTGCTCCCTGCCCCCTCTCTCTGCCTGCCCCCTCCCTGCCCCTCTCTCAGCCTGCCTCCTCCCTGCACCCTCTCAGCCTGCCTCCTCCCCACCCCCTCTCTCTGCCTGCCCTCTCTCTCAGCCTGCCTCCTCCCTGCACCCTCTCTCTGCCTGCCCACTCTCTCAGCCTGCCTCCTCCCCGCACCCTCTCTCTACCTGCCTCCTCCCTGCCCCCTCTTTCTGCTGTCTCCTCTGTCCCCATCCCTCATTTTTCCACCTTGTTCCCCACCCTTGGCCTTGGCGAGGATCTGAGACCCTCTCTTCCTCTTTCCCACTGCAGGCCCTGGTGCTGCCCGCGCCCCGCCCCTATGTGCAGGCCGGTGGTGCCGTGGCCCCTGACCACTGGCTGGACCCCACCACCGTGTGGGAGGTGAAGTGTGCGGATCTCTCCCTCTCTCCCATCTACCCTGCTGCCCGTGGCCTGGTGAGTGCTGGGCTGGGTGTGGCCTGTAATGGATCCCAGTAAGGCAAGCAGGGAGCAGAAGTTTCCTGGCGGCTCTGCCCTCGGGGCCAGTGCTGGGGACGCACCTGCCGTCTTCAGCAGGGCGGGTGTCCGGGGAGGAGCAGGCGCTGTCCTGGAGATTCCTCTGATCCTTCAGAGCCCAGCTGGCACCTCTTTTCCTGGTTGGAAGTGGGGGAACGTGTACTTCTGATCTGACTTGTCTCATTTCCGACTCGCACGGCACGTTAGAGCCAGGGCGCCTGGGCAGTGCTCACGGGCAGCCATGCCCGTCTCCTGTCTGCCCGGGACGGGGACAGAGGTGTGTCGCTCCCCCATTCGCGGAGGAACGACACAGGACCCTGCGCTGTTCTTTTATCTGCTTGGCCCTTCCCGGGTTTGCTGCTGGTTCTTCCCGGGTTGGCTACCGTCCCTTCCACCTCCGTGGAGGGGCGGCTCCCCCTGCCACTTTCCCCACTTCCGCGGGGGAGCGGCACACCGCCGGCCGGCTCTCTCGGGGGCTGCTCAGATGTTATCCGCTGGTTCCTGGTGCATGTTTTCTCTCTCCTCCTTTATAGTCCTCTTCCACCAATCCCAACTCTGCTACCCACATGCCGAGCACGCTGCTCTCCTCCAATCAGGAGCAAGATCAGCTCCTGCAGCTCATCAGTCAAATTGGCGAGAGGCAGCTGTGTAGAAGTTGTTTACTCCTCTCCCAGCGCCATATTGTGGGAGAGCAGATGCATAGAATAAGTCTTAATTCCAGTAAGGTAGTTAGTCCGAGTTGCTCCCCACAGGGGTGGGGACGTGAGCGTCTCCACCATAAACGTGCAGGTGCCTGTGAGGCTGGAAGGTGGGATTTGAACCCATGATCTGGCTCTGGATCCAGGCCTGTGCCTGTCGTAGCGGCTGCTGTGGCGGCCAGTATTGCTCAAGCGCTTACACAGCAGGCACCAGGCGTCCACACGTTTCTCAGCTTCCTGAGCCCTTACCACAGCCTGGTGCTCAGCCCCTCTGTGTGGATCGGGCGCCGAGGCCAGAGGGAAGGGGGAGGGAGACGACCGGAGGTGGCTGTGGCCGCACGGAGGTCGCAGCATCACCCCTGCTGCAGGTGGACAAGGAGAAGGGGATCTCCCTTCGCTTCCCTCGCTTTGTTCGCGTCCGGAAAGACAAGATGCCGGAAGAGGCCACCACCGGTGCTGAGGTGAGGCTCTCGGGAAGGGGGTGTCGGGCCGGGCCTGCTTCCGGGAGAGGGCCCGCCTGACCACCGCCTCCCTCGCAGGTGGCCGATCTGTACTGGAGGCAGAGTCAGATTCAGAACCAACAGTACGAGGACTCGGACACCGACTTGGAAGATTTCTTCTGAGCCCCGCCCGGCTGGAGGACCGCAGGGCAGCGCCCGAGCTTGAGTTCCGTGTCTGGGACTCATTCACTGACTTCCCTCAATAAACAGTCGTCAGACACCCACGCTCTGGGGCACGGCCCTCAGCATTGATTTAATACGTGCTTCGAGCGCCTGAACCAGTGCCGTGCCATGGATCCCTGTGCGCGACTGCAGGCCACCTGCCCAGAGCCCAGTGCCACTGGGGACTCTGATGTCTCACTCACTCATAATTTAGACACTCTTGTGGCTGACCGTCTGAAGTGCGCATTTGTGAGAGAGCACGTGTGAGCACGTGTGTGTCAGCGCATGAGTGTGCATAAGTGCGTGCGTGCACGTGAGTGCCTGTGTTTGAGCATGTGTGAGTGTCCGTGAGTGTGAGAGAGCATGTGTGCCCTCCCAGCAGTCCTGCAGGGAGGCTCTGTCCGGAACCCAGTGAGGGGACAGGGAAACAGGAAGGGCTGTGACCGGGCAGCAGGCTGCAGCCCCAGACCTCTGGAGCAGGGCTGGGACTTGCGTGTGACGCCCAGCTCTGCCACCCACTGGGAAAGGCACCCCAGTGCATGGTGGGTCCGAGTGGTCCAGGCCAGTCCAGTGCGCCACCACCCCCCGCATCCACCCCGGGTCAGGTCAGATGTGTGCGCACCAGGGCCGGCCCAGGGGAGGTCTGTTGGTTTGTGATGCAGAAGCTTCTGGAAGGGCCTGGCAGCCTCCCCTGGACTGTGGCCCCGCTGGAGCAGGGCCAGCCTGAGCTGGGAGGACAGAGCAGGGCAGCCTGCGAGACTGCGGGGTTCCCCTGTTGGCCCGCGGCTCTCGGGACTCCTGTTCCTGCAATAGGGGCCAAATAAGATAGGGAGTGTGGTCCCCTGAGTCAGCCTTGCCTGGGCCCTCTTCAAAGTCGGGGCACACCCAAACCTGGTGCCTCAGACTGGGGAGGGTTGGCTTGGGACACTCGGGTTGGAATCGCTGGGCGTTTGTTGCGGAGTTATGGGGAGGGTGCTGAAGTTGCGGGAGATACCAGTAGGGCACAGTGACAGAGACAGTGCTTGCCTCCCACGGAGGGCAGATGGGCCTCGAACAGCTGGGAGTGGCCAGGCCAGGATCCAGGGCAACGCTTAGCAACCTGTGCTGGTCCCTGGGGTGTTGGGTGCAAAAGAGGCCCGGGCCCTGGGGCTGAGCCCCACATGCCACCCCCTCCCACTGCCTGGCTGCCGGCCCTCACTGCCCCGTGCCAAGGGGGAAGTAACCCTCGATCGTGCTGAGTCACTGAGATGGGCTGGGGGTCTGGGTGGCCCTGACCTGGCTGGCGCGCGAGGGGCCTGGTGCTGAGAGGAGCACGCGGGACGGGAAGGGGCAGGTGGGCCATCCTTAGACCCGATTTTTGGACAAGGAGAGGTGGGATAGAGGCTCAGGGTCGGCAGAGCACAGGCCCCAGCACGAGAACCCAGGTGGTTTTTAGAAGCCATACTTGCCACTTCCGAGGGAGACCTTATTCCTGCCCTCACGGACGTGCACATCCCCAACAGGGTGGCGGGAAACGGCACAGTTGTGGGGGTCAGAGGGCCTCCGTGTCGCTGGGCTCATGTCAAGGAGTGGGTGGGGCTGGATCCTTCTGCAGCCTGGGGGAGTGGGGGGGGTACGCTTCTTGGCCTCTCCCAGAGGCCACCACAGCCCCTGCTCCCAGCCCATCCCCCATCCTGGCAGCGGGACAGCATCTTGGAGTCTCCTGCCCGGAGAGGCCAGCACCCACCTCTATCCCCATGACGAAGACCCTGACACACACACGCGGTGCCCACCAGGACGTCTCCTCTCAAGGCCTTGAGCTTGGCCACGAGTCCCTTCAGCCACATCAGATCACATTCTCAGTTCAGGGCTGGGAGCCCAGGCATCTTTAGGGTCCTTCACCCAGCCCACCCCTCACGAGACTACGTGTCAGAGGAAAACTGATCAGAGGAGGGGCACCCTGGGCCAAGATGGGCACACTTGGGGCAGGGGTGTCTCGCCTTTGGGCGAAGTACGGAGCAGGTGTTCCTGGACATGAGGCTGTCAGGATGTCCCTCGGCCCCTTGGGGAGGATCAGGGCTCCTCACGTGCCCCTGCACTGTGTGTGACCTCAGCAGCTGCTGTCTGCTCTCTGCCCTGCTCCCCTTAGTCTCCCTTACCTTGGGTCCCAGCCTCTCTGCCCGCTGGCCACTCTGTGCTGGGCTCCCTCTGCTGGCCGACTCAGCTCCCGTGACCCTGCACCTCCCTCCTGGTCTCTCTTCCCCTGTGTCTCCAGCCTGTCTCACACACTGGCTGTATTGGTCGCTTGCCCCCTGCATTTCTCTGTCTCAGAGCCCAGGGGTACAGTATCCACCTGCCCATTCTCCTTGCAGCTGCCAGTGTCCTTGTGTCTTCTGTGGGCAGATCCATGGGACACAGCACAGAGTCTGCCAGGGACTTCTGGGAAAACATCTTTCCTGATCGGAAACGAGACCTGGCATGGGAGTCCTTGCTGCCTGCCTGCCTTGACAATGGATGCCGTGGGCCCAGCTTCCAACACACACACAAACACGTGAGTCCTGTGTGGCACATATGTATCCCAGCTGTGGCACATATAAACATACATAGCCACATACATGCATGTGTGTAGGCGTCACTGGTCACACGGGTTCTCGAGAGCTGATTGTCCACATCTCTTCCCAACTTCGGGTTTGCCGACATCATGTCACGCCAGCCGTGGTGGGAAGGTGGACACTGTGACCGGTGCCACAAGTCCAAGCCCGTTGTCCAATATGCAGCAACACAGCGCACACAGGTGCTTGTTGGACTGCAGACATTGACTGGAAGGATACAAGAGAGCAGGGACAGGCTGCCACCACGAACAGAGAATGTGAGGAGGTGAGGAGGGATTTCACCACACATCCTTTGGGCCTGATTGATTTTTTCTTTATGATTGATTTAAAGTCAATGTTAGAGAGAGACACACACACAGATCTTCCAAACACTGATTCACTCCTTACATGGCTGCAACAGCCAGGGCTGGGCCAGGCCAAGCCAGGAGCTAGGAGCTTCATCCACGTCTCTAACATGGATAGCAGAGGCCCGAGCACTTGGGCCGCCTTCCACTGCTTTCCCAGGCGCATTAGCAGGGAGATGGATCAGAAACAGACTTGAACCAGTGCCCATATGATGTGCCGGCATCGTAGGTGGTGGCTTCACCCGCTGTGCCTGTTTGGTTCTGACCATTTGTGGTGATAGTAGCTGGTAGGGCTGACGTTGGGCCTGTGGTGCAAACACCTGCCTCTCCTGTCACTATCAGCGTGCCTGGGCTCAGCAGCCAGCTCTAGACTGCTGACCAACGTTCACTGATGCATGCATACCTTGGGAGGTGATGGCCCAAGGAATTGAACCCCTGCCACCCACTTGGGAGACCTGCATTAAGTTCTGGTTCCCTGCTTTGGCCCAAGCCAGGGACCATGATAGGCATCTGGAGGGGTGTGAACCAGCAGGTGCAAGCTCTATTTCTCTCTGTCAAATTCCAACATTAAAAACTAAAACAAAACCCCCCACCAGAGGAAGGTACCATTGTTTTCTTCACTTTGCAGGTGAGGACAAGGAGCTATTCTCTTAAGAGAGAAAGAGGAAGCAACATTTTGTCTGTAATTACAAAACACCGTAAGCCATCTCTTCAGGGTGCTGTTTTAACCGGAAGGAAGGAAGAAGAAACTCGGTGAAGGCAGAGGTAACAGATGTTTGCTGAAGGTTTTTCATTCTATGCTGCAAAGTTCCATGTGGTGCCATTTAAGCCTCATCATAGGAAATAGGAGCCATTAGGCCCATCCTCCAGGCGGCAAACTGAGGCTAGAGGAACAGACTCGTGTGTTCCATGGTCTGTGAGCCCCCAGGCTGAGCACGCTGTCCAGTCTGTGGCCCGAGTCCTCGGCTGCTGGTGCCCAGCTCCCCGCTCTGCACAGAACAGAAGGGGATGCCGGAGCAGGAGCTCAGCAGGTTTCCATAAGGAGAGGGAGAGAAAAGGTGTGCAGGGAGAGGTGACTGGGGAGGAAGTACAAGCAGGGCACTTCCCCCGCAGGCAGGGACTCCACAGCCTCTGGCGGCTTCTTGGGGCAGTAGTGACCAGCCATGTTGATAGAGAAACTTTAAACCAGTTGTGTCCATAATGGGCACTAGTGCAGGAATAGACCAATAGATAAACAGTTGGGAAAAAAAATTGATATAGATTTTAAAAAAAACTGTAGGTGTGAGGGTCTCCTGACACCCTGCTGGTAACTGACCACGGTGGCTCCCGTGGGTGCGTGCTCCCCAGTGAGTTAATGTTGCCACAGAACTCGGGCTTTTTCTCTCCTCCAGCTCCAGCTGCAGAGGGGGTGTTAGCTCACAGGGTGGCCCGAGGTGTCCCCTTGTCAGGGTCCCATCCCTTTCCGCCTGTCTCCTAGCAACCCCATGAGAACTTGAGATGCTGCCAGGCCCAGTTCCCTCCCTTCACACGCGAGGAATTCAAGGGTTTCAGCAGAGCAGGGATGGATCTCGGGCCACAGCCAGCCCTGGAAGCCACTTAAGTGTGCATGGCCACACCGGGCTGGCTTCCTGGTGCCCGCCAAGGAGCCCCAAGTCTCCCGTGCCTCTGGGCAGATGGGGTGCAGATCTGGTATGCAGAGGAGGGGAACAGGAGGTGCAGGCCAGGCTCCCGGTGGGCGATGGCTGCCGAGAGAGAGGTTTCAGCCTCAGCCTGGCAGTGTCCCTTTCACCACAGACAGCTTGAGGGAGCACTGTGCTGGGGACTACAAAGCGCACTTGGCCCCAGTCCACCAAGCCAAGTGACTGACTGCTTCTCCTAAGAAGTCTTTGACAAACTTGCCAGACTTACCCCTGCCCCTACCCAGTTTGTTTTCTGGGTACTTGAGTCTGATCCCTGATGTTTGTAAGGCCGTCCATCACATAGGCTGAAGGTAAATGATCTCATCCATTTTAGGGACTTCTCATCTTGAACCATCAACAGCAGAATCCCAACCAGAGACCTCCTTGAACCTGCTGCAGAACGAGGACAGGCACACGGCCCACACAGCTGAGGAAGTCGGGCGAGATGGACTGTGACAGGTGAGCCACACGTGTGACTCTGCATGTAATAGCCACGTTTTTATCTAGGTAGTCTTTATGTGGAAGGCAGAGAAGAAGACAGAGAGAGAGAGAGAGAGAGAGAGATCCCATCTGTACGTTCATACCCACAGAGGCCTGCACAGCCAGGGCTGGGCCAGGCCAAAGCCAGGAGCCTGGAACTCAGTCCAGGAGTCCCGTGCAGGTGGCTGCATTAGCAGGAAGCTGGACTCCAGCCCTAAACCCTAGCACTCCCATGTGGGAAGCGTCCTAACCACTGTGCCAAGTACTCACCCCTGTAGGCAGCCTTTGGACAAGTCAAGGCTAATCTAGGCCTCTGGTTTTCCTGGGAAAAGAAAGTCACATACTCCCATTCTGAAGAAGGATGTCAATCAAGAACAAGTCCTGTACAGGTGGCTGCATTAGCAGGAAGCTGGACTCCAGCCCAGAACCCTAGCACTCCCGTGTGAGAAGTGTCTTAATCGCTGTGCCAAGTACTCACCCCTGTAGGCAGCCGTTGGACAAGTCTAGGCTAATCTAGGCCTGTGGTTTTCCTGGGAAAAGAAAGTCACATACTCCCATTCTGAAGAAGGATGTCAATCAAGAACAAGTCCTGTACAGGTGGCTGCATTAGCAGGAAGCTGGACTCCAGCCCAGAACCCTAGCACTCCCGTGTGAGAAGTGTCTTAATCGCTGTGCCAAGTACTCACCCCTGTAGGCAGCCGTTGGACAAGTCTAGGCTAATCTAGGCCTGTGGTTTTCCTGGGAAAAAAAAGTCACATACTCCCATTCTGAAGAAGGATATCAATCAAGAACGCTCTGTTAAAATTATCTGTGCTACCGGAGGCCCCATAAGTTGCTTATGTACATTGTTATCTTTTGTGCTTCTTTGTTCTGCAGCTGGTTATGTGTAAATACACCTGGGACTTTAGAATAAATGAGCATATATCAGCCTTGTTGTCTTGGCTCCATTCTCTGCACCTTTGTCCCTCTTTTCATTCCCACTCCCTCCTTCAAGTTCCGTTCCACTGTGCGGCTGGCCCGCACACCCCTAGCTCTGTCTTAAAGTAAAAAGAGGGGTTGGCATTGTGGTGGTACAGGCAAGGCTGCTGCCTGCACAGCTGGCATCCCATTTGGGGCTGGTTTGAGTCCTGGCTGCTCCACTTCCAGTCCAGCTCCCTGCTAATGCACCTGGGAAATTAGAGGGCGATGGCCCAAGTGCTTAGGCCCCTGCCACCGACGTGCGAGACCAGGAACAAGCTTCTGGCTCCTGGCTTCAGTCTAGCCCAGCTGTGGCTATTACAGCCATTTGGGGAGTGAACCAGTAGATGGAAAATCTCTCTCTCTAACTGCCTTTCAAACAAACAAAAAAAGCAAAAAGAAACAGGTGCCATTGATTCTCCTTTCAGCTACTTTTTTTGTTGTGATAAAATACATACAACATCAAGTTTACCATTTTAGCCATTTTAAAGGGAATGACCCAGTCAAGTCACATTTAGCCCATTCATGATCTGGTGCAACCACCACCTGTCTGGTTCCAGGACATCCCATCACACCCAAAGGGAGCCCGAGACCTACTGAGCATCACCCCAGCCCCTGACAGCCACTACTCTGCCTTCTGCCCCTGTGGATTTTTTCATTCTAGACAATCCACATGAAGGGAGCTGTAGAACACCTGGCCCCTGGGCCTGGCTCTGGCCTCCGCCTGTCCTGCCCCCATGGCCGGTCTGTGCTGTGGCACGCGTCAGGTGTCAGTGCTGTCTGTGGCCAGCGATGTTCCATGGCCTGGATGTGCCTGTCCTGTGGATCTGACCACCACCGGGGGGCACTTGCCTCTTTCTTTTCCCACCTTGTAGCCATTATGGATAGCACTGCTGTGAACATCCAGTATTTGCTTGAACACCAGTTTTCAATTCTTTTGCGTAGACGCCTAGGAATGTAATTGCTGAGTGATAAAGTAATTCTGTTTTAACTGCCAAACTGTTTTCCACCACGGCCACACCCTACCGTTAATGTTAATAGCATATGGTCCAGCCACACTCTCAGTGTCCACGGGAGATGGTTCCAGGACCCCTCACGGATACCAAAATCCTTGAATGCTCAAGTCCCTTACATAAGATGGCACAGTATTTGCCCAGACCTACAAACATCCTACTCTATACTTTATTTTTAAATGTACTTACTTAGGGGCCAGCAGTGTGGCATAGTGGGTTAAGCCACTACCTGCAATGACAGTATCCTTTGGGCACCAGTTTGAGTGCCGGCTGCTCCGCTTCTGATCCAGCTCCCAGTTAATGCACCTGGAAAAGCAGCAAAAGATGGCCCAAGTGCCTGGGCCCCTGAACCCATGGGGAGACCCAGATGGAGTTCCTGGTTCCTGGCTGCGGCCTGGCCCAGCCCTGGCCATTGCAGCCATTTCGGGAGTGAACCAGCAGATGGAAGATCTGTTCTTCCTCTTTCTCTGTCACTCTGCCTTTCAAATAAATAAAGTAAATGTTTTTAAAAAATCAAATAAATTCATTTTTGTTTTATCATGAGCAAGCCAGACAGGGCAAATAAGATTACAGATCAGGTCTTTTGATGGGTTTTGTTCCTGCTTTGTTATTGATTGTCAAGTTGATAGTCAGGATTTTTTTTTCTTTCTTCCCCAAAATTGTGCTTAAAAACCCGAGAATCACCTGCCCCTTCCGGTTTTGCCTCTGTTGGAGCTCCCCTCCTGGCCACTGCACCAGGAGGTCTCTGACTTAAATAAATCTTGCTTGGCCGGTGCCGCGGCTCACTAGGCTAATCCTCCGCCTTGCGGCACCAGCACGCCAGGTTCTAGTCCCGGTCAGGGCACCGAATTCTGTCCCGGTTGCCCCTCTTCCAGGCCAGCTCTCTCCTGTGCCTGGGAGTGCAGTGGAGGATGGCCCAAGTGCTTGCCCATGGGAGACCAGGATAAGTACCTGGCTCCTGCCAGGATATCAGCGTGGTGCGCCGGCCGCAGCGCGCCGGCCGCGGCGGCCATTGGAGGGTGAACCAACGGCAAAGGAAGACCTTTTTCTCTCTCTCTCTCTCTCACTGTCCACTCTGCCTGTCCAAAAAAATAAATAAATAAATAAATAAATAAATAAATAAATCTTGCTTTTAGATAAAATAAACAAATAGAATGAATTGATGCCTAATAATTGTACACACTTACGGGGCTCCGTGTGATCATTTAATGCGCGTGTAGGAATGCATGTAATGTAATGTGTAGGAAGGATGATGACTGGATCGAGGCACTCACGTCTCCAGCTCCTTAGACATTTCTTCTTTGTGCTGAGAACCTTCAAATTCCTGATGTAGGATCGTTACAAATGTGTGATAAACCAGGTGCCGTGCTACAGAACGCTGGAACCTGCCTCGCATCCCACTGCAGCTTGATGTCTGTTAGCCGACCTCTCCATCCCCACAGCTCCTTCGCCTTCCTAATCTCTGGAGACCGACTGTACTCTCTACTTCTACCACATTCAGCTTTTTAGCTTCCACTGGGAGTGAGAACGTGTGGTGTTTGTCTTTCTGAGCCTGGCACGTTCGCTCACTCACCCTCTCTCACTCTCTCTCGCTCTCGCTCTCCTTCTCTTTCTTAAGATTTATTTATTTATTTGAAAGGCAGAGGGACAGAGAGAGAGAGGGAGGGTGGGAGAGAGCTCTTCCATCCATTGGTTCATTCCCCAAATGGGCCAGGCTGCAGCCAGGAGCCGGGAACTCTGTCTGAGTCTCCCATGTAAAGGGCAGGGGCCCCAGCACTTGGGCCGTCTGCTGCTGCTCTCCCGGGCACATTAGCAGGGAGCTGGATCGGAAGCAGAGCAGCCAAGGCTTGAACTGGTGCTGCCGCATAGGCTCTAGTATCACGGGCAGCTGCTTGAGACCCTGCGCCACAGCGCGGTCTCTGGTTTATTCCACTTAGTTCCCCCGCCCCCCACCATTCCCGGTTCCATCCACGTTGCTGCAGACGACAGATTTCGTTCTTTTTGCAGTCGAATAGTGCTCCATTGTGTTCCTAGGCCACGTCTCCCTTGCCCGTTCACCCGCCGATGGACACACAGGTCGAGGCTGTGTTTTTGCCATTGTGAGCGGTGCTGCAATAAACAGGGCAGCGCAGTGAAGGCTTTGATGTGCTGGTTTCTTTCCCTGGGCTACATGCACAGTGGTGGACCAGCTACCAAACTGTTCTCACTCTTCCCGTCCTGCTGTGAATCGTCCGTCATTTGTGGGTTTTGTTTCTGTTTGTCCTGGGAAGCGCTGAGGTTTCCGTAATTCCTGGGATCCAGAAAGAAGAGAAGGCGGCCGTGGAGAAACGCAGCCAACAGGTGCTGGCGGCTCTGAAAAAGCTGAACATCGAGGCCGATGAGGTAGGGAGGAGTCAGGGCCTGGGAGTTCTGGGGGCTCTGGGGTTGTCCCTGGGTGCCTGGGGTCCCAGCCCGACTCAGCCGGGGTGAGCAGAGGTAAGAGGAGGAAACAACAGCAACACAGAACAACGCCCTGTGCCAGAAGGAGCCCAGACTCCCTCTCATCCCCAACTCTTCCCAAGGATCGAACCCCTAACCAATCCTCCCCACAACGCCCAGGCCCCGGTCATTGCCGTGCTGTGCTCCGGTGGGGGGCTGCGGGCCCACATCGCCTGCCTGGGGGTCCTGAGTGAGCTCCAAGAACTCGGCCTGTTGGACGCTGTCACATACCTGGCAGGGGTCTCGGGGTCCACCTGGTAAGTGTCCCCTTTGGGGATGGGAGGCAGCAGGCTGACTTCTGAAACAATGCAAGAGCGTCGTCTTCCTGACGCCAAGTGCCTGCTCGTTTTTGTTTTAAAAAAAGATTTTATTTATGTTAAGAGGCTGTGTGTGTGTGTGTGTGTGAGAGAGAGAGAGAGATCTTCCTTCCACTGATCCACTCCCCAAGTGGCCACAGCAGCCAGGGCTGGGCCAGGCTGAGGCCAGGAGCCTGGAACTGGCGGTGGGTGGAACACAGCCCCTTTTAGCTTCTCTGCCTCTGTGATGCAGTATTGAGTTCAGTCTGTGTAAGACTTTCCACTCAAGAGGCCCAGACAGCAGGAATGAAGCACTCACACCTGTGCACCTGCTCCAAGCCCAGGGTAGACATTACTAATTGATTGTGGCACATTTTCTGTGCAAGAGCCAAGAACAAACCAGGGAGCAGGGGCCAGAGTGAGATGGGGCAGGCTGAGGCAGGAATGTTGGACCTAGCTGGATAGATTGAATTTCTTTCTAAGCTCAAGCTTTGACGCACAGCTGAGTTTTGAGCTGGGCACGGAGGATGAGGTTACTGGTTAATGGAGACAGTTGCATGAAGAGCAGAGAAGCAGAGCGTGGGAGTGAGGCAGGTCCTGCAGGGTCTCACCCAGGACCCCAGGATGCCCTGAAAGCCTGTCTTACGTGCTGAGCGGTATGGCACAGTGTTTAAGAGAACTGCCTCGCTGCAGAACCCCGGGGTGCTGCCGGCACAGGAATCTCATGGTTTGTTACTTAGCGGCGTTCCTTGGAGGTACATGACACTGTGGTCTGCACCTCAGCCCTCCTATTCTCGGCTGAAGTCCTTGCAGGCTGTGCGTTCTCTTTCCACGGTGTTTGTTTTTAGTAAATTACTCTCCACTTCCTGAAGGACAGCGGCACCAAGGGGGCTCTGCATCCCCGCCCAGCCCTCTCCTCCCACTTGCCTCTCCTGGAGCCTGGAAGCCCTTTCCTCACACGGCCTCTTAGCAATGCATCTTCGTCCTCAGAGTCCCTGTGAGGAGGCCTGGCCCGGGGCCCTGTAGCCACAGCACTGAGGTCTGTGCCCAGCACCCCCACCGCTCTTTCCTTCCCTCCCCGCAGCTGAAGAAGGACTACCTGGACGGCGTGGGCGACACCCTGGACCTCATGGTGATTGGCGCCTACCTGGGCCGGGGGAAGCGTGCCGGCCGCTACGGGGGCTTTCTGCTGGCCTGCTATGATGAAGACACCGAGGGACTGCAGGCCATCTGCAAGGTCTGGGCGCCGGGCCGACCCTAGGGGGCTTCCTGTGGGCGCCTCAGGAGGGCCCAGGTCCACAGACAGACAGCCCTCCCAGTGAGGAAGGATCCGACTGCAGCAGGGCTACTGTGGACGTCGGGAACCGCGTCCGGCTGCCTGGTGCTCGCTTAGCCTAGAGAGGACTGTCCCTTCTCTGTGACAGGAAGTCTGGCGGCAGCGGCCCCTGCAGGGCCTCTTCTCTCCCCACAGTTGTCTTTCTGATGGGCTCTGGTCTCGTCGTCGCAGTGTAGCTGCAAGTGTGCCGGCCATCAGGGCCTTGCATGCTGCAGACACCAGAAGAGAGGACCCAGGCAGCAGCACTGCGGGGCAGGGGTGGAGCTGCCATTTGGGAGGCCTGGGCTTGAGCCTCGGCACTACTTCTGCCACAGCTCCCTGCTAGTGGGCACCCTGGCAAGCAGCAGGTGATGGCCCAAGTTTGGGGTCCCTGTCACCGACATGGGAGACCTCGAGAAAGCTCCTGACTTCAACCTGACCCAGCCCCAGCGATGGCAGGCATTTAGGGGTGAACTAGTGGGTGGGAGAATGAGTCTCTCTCTCTCTCTCTCTCTCTCTCTCTCTCTCTCTCTCTCTTTCACACACACACACACACACACACACTGCACTTCAGATGAGTAAATAATAAAGAACAATGCACAGGGCCAAGGCCTGTGCCTCCTGGAATTTCCCTCCATGGCTGGTCCCTGTCTGCAGGGGCCACTGAGAAAGTCAGGCCTTTATGGCTGTGCAGTGTGACCGGGTCTCCCTCACCCAGCAGACTGAGTGAGAAACAGCACCAGTAACTCCACAGAGGCAGTTTGCTTTCTTTCTTTTTATTTATTTTTGTAAAGATTTATTTATTTGAAAGGCAGAGTTACAGAGAGGCAGAGGCAAAGAGAGAGGTCTTCCATCCGCTGGTTCACTCCCCAGATGGCCACAATGGCCAGAGCTGCGCCTATCTGAAGCCAGGAGCCAAGAGTTTCCTTTGGGTCTCCCACATGGGTGCAGGGGCCCAAGGACCTGGGCCGTCTTCTGCTTCTTTCCCAGGCCACAGCAGAGAGCTGGATCGGAAATGGAGCAGCCTGGACTTGAACAATGCCCATATTGGATGCGGGCACTGCAGGCGGCGGCTGTACCCACTGCGCCACAGCGCCGGCCCCTGGCAGTTTTCTTGATGCATCTTTGAAGTTGTGACCTTTGTCTCTGAGTCATTCTCTTTTTTTGTTTTTTCCTCCTTAAATAGTTTATTTAAAAAACACATTTTAAAAATCTATTTATGTTGCAAGACAGTGACATCTCCCATCCCCTGGTTCACGCCCCGCAAAGGTCAGCAACAGCCAGGACTGGGCCAGGCCAAAGCTGGGAGCCCGGGACTCCAGCTGGGTCTCCCACGTGGGTGGCAGGGACCCAAGCAAATGAGCCGCCCCTGCTGCCTCCCAGGGCACACACTAGCAGGAGACTGGACTCGGAGTGGAGTCGGGACTGAAGCCCAGGCTCCCCAGCGTGCCCTCCCCAGTACTTTATTCTGTGAAGCTTGGGGTGTGACGTGGAGCCTACGACAGCGCTCTGAGGTGCAGCCGCGCCGAGTTCCTGAACCAGTTCTCTGCACTTGATTTCAGCCACTTGTCCTTAAGAACGACGTCCTCACTGCACTGGGTTAGCCTGTGTGGTCTGTGACACAGGTGCCTTTGCAGTCCAGCAGTGTCAGTCTGTCGCCACCCAGCAGTGCTGGGATAGAGCTCCATTTGTCCGACGGGCAGAGATGCCGTTTGCTGGCCCACTCCCCAAACACTTGGCGACGGCCAGGACTGGACCGGGCAGGGCCAGGAGCCAGGAGCCAGGAGCTCGGAGCTCGGTCATGGCCTCCCATGGCAGGGATCCAGTTGCCTCAGCCATCACCTGCCTCACAGGGTGTGTGTTGGTAGGAAGCTGGATCCATAGCAGAATGAGGATTTGAACCCAGGCCCTGCGGTGTGGGTGCACGTGTCCCCCGCAGGGCCTTGACTGCTGCACCAAAAGGCCTCCGCTAGTAGTATCATCGGCACAAAAGGCGAAAAGGTGGCTGAGGTTCTCAGTACCAGAGACCCAGTACCAGTACCACTGTGCACAGTGGGTGAGCAGCGCCTCGCTGTGATGCCTCACGCCTGCTGCTCGGGCGGGGCGGGAAACCTCGGGGTTAGGATTGGAGATGATGGTGAGCTCAGGGGGTGACCTCCCAGACAGGACCAGAGCCAGAGGATGGGGTCCCCACACCGCACCCCCATTCTGTGGGTGTCCTCTGACCCGCGTCTTCCCTGCAGCTGGGGACCGGCTTCAGCGACGAGGAGCTGGAGGAGCAGCACCAGAGCCTCCAGGTGAGCTGCGTGGCCTCTCAGCCTCCGCCGTCGGAGGGTTCAGGGTGCGGGCAGGAGGGCGGCGGGGTCAGGCCCCAGCTCTGCCGGCTGCTGGTCACAGGACCGTCTCCGGCCCGGAGCCTCGGTCACACCGGGGCTGCAGGGCATCTCCCTGCTCAGGGCCTTGTCACACTGGAGCCACAGGGCCGTCACCCCACCCAGAGCCTCGGTCACACTGGGGCTTGCCGAGCGCCATTCAGGTGTTCCCGGGTTGTGCCCGTGGAACACTTAGAGAGCCCCGGGTGAGAGGGGCGCTGGGGAATGCGAGCCCTGGGTGTGGTGTCTGGATCGCGGTTCTGCCTCCGTCCGTGCTATCCTCCCTTTCTGTTCCCTCCTCTCTCTGGGCCTTGGCTCCCTCCCTACCCCTCCAGCTCTGGGTCCCTCTTCTTCTGGGTCTCCGTTCCCATCCCTTTGCCTCTGTAGTGTCCCGTCTCCGCTGCATTCCATTTCTTTCCTTTTCCTGCTTCCCTTACTACCCCTCTCAGCCTGCCTGCTCCCTGCCCCCTCTCTCTGCCTGCCCCCTCCCTGCCCCTCTCTCAGCCTGCCTCCTCCCTGCCCCCTCTCTCAGCCTGCTTCCTCCCTGCCCCCCTCTCTGCCTGCCCCCTCCCTGCCCCCTCTCTCAGCCTGCCTCTTCCCTGCCACCTCTCTCTGCCTGCCCCTCCCTGCCCCTCTCTCAGCCTGCCTCCTCCCTGCCCCCTCTCAGCCTGCCCACTCCCCGCTCCCTCTCTCTGCCTGCCCCCTCCCTGCCCCTCTCTCAGCCTGCCTCCTCCCTGCACCCTCTCAGCCTGCCTCCTCCCCACCCCCTCTCTCTGCCTGCCCTCTCTCTCAGCCTGCCTCCTCCCTGCACCCTCTCTCTGCCTGCCCACTCTCTCAGCCTGCCTCCTCCCCGCACCCTCTCTCTACCTGCCTCCTCCCTGCCCCCTCTTTCTGCTGTCTCCTCTGTCCCCATCCCTCATT